CTCTTCGCGCGGCAATAATCAAACAGAGCATTATTTTTTTTGTTTTTGTTGGATGGGGAAAAGTAATTGGCGGTGAGAATACACTGCAAAATATGGCATGCCATGAAACTGGGCGCCTTCCCCCCGAACACGAAAAGCTCACCGTAACATCAACTAATGACAATTCGACTAATTTTAGTCAAAATTTTGAGAAGAGAGGAGAGGGGGGGGGGGGGGGGGGGGGGGGGGGGGGTGTTGTCTTTATAAGGGGTTTTTCTTATTTTTTTTAACGGGGTTTGTGAAGGGTTGGGGACGGGCCCCCGCTCCACACTCGCGGGAACCCCCAGGACGGGGGAAAGGGGGGGGGGGGGGGGGTAGAGGCCCTGCGCCAGGGGGGGGCCCAAAAACGCCCCCGGGGGAAACCAAAGGCAAAAGGGGAAAGGGGGTTTAAAAAAAAACATGCCTGCATTAACTCCCCCGGCAGGGGGCCCCCTTACGGTTCCCCTCGGGGCCGACCCATCGCATACCAAAAAACAGGGGGTAGCCGACAACCCCACATGCAACATACCCCCCCCCCCCCACCAACCCCCTCCTCCCCCCCTCTCTCTCTCCTTCCTCTTCTTCCCCTTTCTCTCTCTCTCCTCCCCCCTCTCTCCCCTTCTTTTTCCACCCTATACCGGCCCACACAAACTCAGACGTGTCCGCAGCAGGTCCTTACACACACACACACACACAGGCACACACGCGCGCAAAACTAGTCCTCTCTTCCTGCAAGCGCGGGACGCCCCCGCGAGCCAAGTGAGCCAAGTGGCTACAACGGGCCCAATGGTGCGGTGCGGAGATGAGGCCACGGCGCCGTGCTCCCTTATTTCGTATAGCAAGCAGGCCACAAAGTCCGTCAAAGAGTTTCCATGGGCAGAAAGTCGGACGGACAGACAGACAGACAGACAGACAGACAGACAGACAGACAGACAGACAGACAGACAGACAGACAGACACACAAGGAACGAAAAAGGGAGACGTCGTCGCTCCGGAGCAGAGAGTGGAGCGCCGAAGTATCAGTGAAGACGCGCACACCCAAGCGCGTACCTGCACTGGGAGTTGGCGGAACTGCGCGGAGCTAACGGGGCAACTTTCCAGCGGACCGGGCCGGGCCGGGCCCGACCGGACCGGGCGACCTTCCTGCGCTCCCTCAACCTCCCCGGCCCGCAGCACACGCGTGTGCGGCGTGTGCGCGCTCCCGACCGCCGGCGCCGTTTTGCAGCCGAAAGCGCCCTCTCAAACTCGCATCGGAAGGTCCCTTCTTCTCCGGGGTCGCTCGCGCGGCGTGGGCAGCCTCGGGAAGCCCTAGGAGACAGGCGGCCCTAGGCCCTGTGCGCAGCGCGGCCAGCGCGGCGGGCCCACGGCCCTAAGATAAGGAAAGGTTTCATTAAAAGTTACACCTTAGAAGGACAACTTTTGGAGCAGCGCGGGAGTGACGCCCGCGCCGCGCAGCCCGACCGACGCGTCGCACTCAATGTCTCACAAAGTTGTCCTCTTATTGGCCGCCTGCAGGGCGCGGCGTTCTGGGCACGGCGTTCTGGGCACGGCGTTCTGGGCACGGCGCGAGGGGGTAACGACTTCGGGAATCCGGCTGACAGCAAATTGGTAATCCGTAATCCGGATAACCCGAATTTTTGAGGTAATCCGGGGTAATCCGGGAAAATTTTGAGGTAATCCGGGGTAATCCAGGAATTTTTTTGTTGTAATCCGGAGGTAATTTGGGGGTAATCCGGGGTAATCCGAGGTAATCCTTAATCCGGCTGACACGAAATTTACCAGTCGTTACCCCCTCGGCACGGCGTTGTAGGTACGGCGTTCTGGGCGTGGCGTTCTAGCTATGGCGTTCTAGGCGTGGCGGTCTAGGCGTGGCGTTCAAGGCACGGCGTTGTAGGCAAGGCGTTCTGGGTACGGCGTTCGAGGCGTGGCGTTCTGGGCGCGGTGATCTAGGCGTTTGCATTCTGGGCACGACTCCTCAGGGCGCGACGTTGAAGGCGTTTAATCCACGGCGTTCTAGAAGCTGTGTTCTTTGCTCGGTGTTCTACGCAGCGCTGTAGGCAAGGCGGTTCAGGCGCGATTTTTAGGCACGGCATTCTAGGCGCGGGGTTCGGAAGGGGGGGGGGGGGTCTCCGAACGCCGGCACAGCGTCCGCCCTGCGACTCTCTGCAGACGCTTTGCGCTCCGCCGTGACCAAAGACGCGAAGTTTTAGTTGGAGCAGTTGCGGGACGGCTAAAGAGCTGCTCTTTCGCAGTGATAGCAGGCAGTCCTGCACTGAAAAAAAAAAGTTCAGAATCCGAGAGCATGTGTGTCACATTGAGGAAATGCTCTCTGATATTTTGGCAGATCTCTTGATGTGAGACAAAATTAATTCTCTCCGATTCGAAACTCTCTTTTTTTTTCAGTGTGTGTGAGTTCAAACAGAATGAAAAACTAGTGCTGACCGGTTCCGAATGCGGTCAGCTCCCGTACCAATGGGAACGACGTGGCAACAAAGTCATCTTGTACAATTTTGTACGAGACATCACAGTTTTATGTGCACTGCACACGAACTTTTCGTGCAATTTTTGTACGAAAAACTGCACCGATTTCCTCACTTTTGTGCGAAATCGCGAACAAATTTGTACGAAAAGTTCGTGCGCACAAAAAAAAAAAACCTGTGATGTCTCGTACAAAATTTATACAAAAACCTTTAGAGTGTACCGTTTTGATGACCTTATTGTGAATTGGTCCTTGAAATGATCATCAAGGGACATCCAGAACTTGTCGCAGTGTAGGCACGGTTGAACCAACTGGCACTGGACTGCACGGGTGCTGAGCCACGGCTCTTTAGGAGGCTGCTTTAACAAGGGACCCAGATGTGACTGTGGTTTGATGCATCGCTTAGGAGAGGGAGGCGAGTTGTTGGTGAAGTTGCAGCAGTGAGGCTGTTCTGTGAAGGGCTGCATGGCCCGTTTTCGAGCCCAACAAAAACAACAACAACAACCGGCGCCGGGCCTGCAGCCTCCATCGCTCGCTGCGCAAATGTTCCCTCGCTGTCCGAGCCCGCACCTGCCGGCCTGAACCGAAGGGTATCTGTCTCTCTCGTCTTCACGGGGCGTTCCGTTCGGTGCGCGAGCGAGGGGTGAATCACTCAGCGTTCTGGTGTACACATGAGTACATGAGTACGCGTGAGTACACCTTCCTTTACTCATAAATTTTACATTTGTAAACAATTTAAGGCTTAATTTAGCGTTTTAAACGACACTCGACGCCTAATCGGTCGAAAAACTAGTGAATTTCGCCCTTTTTTACCTGGTGAGTACACTGAGTACGGGCAAATTTGTACACATGAGTACACTAGTGATTCACCCCTCGTGCGCGAGAGAGACGCAGAGTGACGCCGCAGCCCTCCGGACCCAGGCGGCTGCTGCAGGCTGCAAGCCCAGGCTCTGAGGGGGAGAGAGACAGAGTAGGTGTGTGTGTGTGTGTGTGTGTGTGTTTGTTTGTTTGTTTGTGCCTCTTCGAGCCCTCAAAGCGCAGAAGTTCTCGGCGGCCGAAGGGCGAAGGGCGAGTGGTGGCAATTGCTGTACTTGTTGCGCCCAACACACTACTGCATTCCGCAAAGCGGCGCAAAGCCGGAAACGGGACCGACCAGCAGGGCGCATAGGGCCACGCGCGCCTCACGCGTGCCGGGCGCGGCAAATTCGAAACTACCGGCCGTCTCTCCGTTGAAGGGCTCGACGGAGGGAGAGTCAGGGCACCACGGAGGGACGGCCGGTGCCCTAGTAAGAAACTCTATGTGTGTGTGTGTGTGTTAGAGAGAGAGAGAGAGAGGGGGGGGGGAAGAGACAGAGTAGGGGTGTGTGATTGTAGTTAGAGGTGTGTGTGTGTAGTTAGAGGTGTGTGTGTGTGTGTGTGTGGTGTGTGTGTGTGTGTGTGGACGGACTATCAATCACGAGTATCTGCGGAAGTAGTGTCGGCCCCGTTCGGCCTGCAGGGAACCCAGGGAAGAGGAAGAGGGGTCGGGGTATCGGAAGCCGGACGCACGGTCGCGCTGCCCTGAGGGCCCTGCGAGGGCCCTGAGGGAGAACAGGAGAACAGGCGGGGATGAGTAACGCTGCGCGCGTCCTGGACCATATCGGACATCGAAGCGGAGAGAGAGAGAGGGGGGGGGGATGCACCACGGGCGCGACGGGCGCACTGTACATTGTTCATCACGACAACGGGAAGTTGCCTGGCTTCGGGAAACTGCGGCCGCTACCTCCTCGCAGACCGTCGCAGACCGTCGCAGACCGTCGCAGACGCACGGGGCTGTGAAACGACCGTGAAGGCGGGCATGCCGAGGACATGCGTCCTATCTCACCCTTCAATCGACATTTCACCACTATTCATTGTCGTTTGTACACATTTGGTGGAATTTCGTCAAGAAGCGTGACTGATTTGTCAAGACGAAATTGATAATAATGTTTCGAAAACAAATGAAAAATGTTAATATGGCCTTCAAGGTGCACAAGGCGTCGATACGTTATTAAACTAAACATCAGTACGAGTCTGATAGTGTTGCTGCTGTGAAAGAATAGCGACAGGTTTTTAAAAAGAGAGGGAGAGAAGGAAAAACAGTCCAAGGTATTCCTGACAGGTTGGCAGATTTTTCTGTCTAATGAGGTTTTCTCAGCACGTTTCTCTGGGTTTCCCGCTGGCCCTGGGAATCAAATGAAATCGGCGCGGGCACCGCCTCTAATTGGAATCGCCCTCCTCCCTCCTTCTCTCTCTCTCTCTCTCTCTCTCTCTCTCTCTCTCTCTCTCTCTGTCTCTCTCTGTCTCTCTCTGTCTCCCTCTCTCATTCTCTCTCTCTCATTCTCTCTCTCTCTCGCTGTAGGTTGGTCATCCTCCTAACGCCGTGGAAGCCGTTCGATCTCACTCCGTCGTCTTTACAGAAATGACAACTTTTTTTAAACTAAATTTTCTTTTACATTTTTTTTTCCTCTTTTTTCTGTGACAGCGTCCCCGTGGAGGACCGCGGAGGCTTCTCCCAGTGCCGCATGTACCGGCGCAACTACTCGCGCGTGGCCGCGGCCGTGGAGGTGGCCCTTGCCGGCGACGTGCTGGCCGTGGAGGCGGCCCTGGCTGCCCTGGTGCCGGGGGGCGGCCGGACGGCCGTCTGGCCCGAGGCCAACCAGTCCCTGGCCGCGGAGTCAGACGACGGCACGCTGCCCTGCGAGCACGGCTACGCCTTCGACTACACCGAGTACTCCAACACCGTCGTCACCGAGGTGAGTCCATTACATGTGGTGCGCGGAGTCAAGTGGGGGGAAAGGAGAGAGCGTGTGTGTGTGTGTGTGTGTGAGAGAGAGAGAGGGGGGGGGGCGGGGGGAATGAAGTGTGTGTGTGTGTGTGTGTTTGGGGCATTCCTCGCCTAGCTGTCGAGTGGACGCTAACAACAGCTACGCGTCCAGCGGCCCGGCGCACCGCGGCGCGAATTCCACGAGTAGCCCTCTGCAGCCCTCTGTGCGGACGAGGACACCGACGCTGTGCCCATGGCGTGCCCATGGCGTGCCGTGATAAAGTCACCCATGTTTGGACGATAAAGAGTACCTCGCCCGAAATTTCAGTCCCGAGTATGACTCTCACAGTGTCGTGCACCGGCGTTTGCGCGCAGACTGTTTCCCCAAACCGTGTGTACAGTGCGTGCTTCGCTGTAGTCCTGCAGGTCCTGTCCGCGCGAGTGAGGGATCCGCGACAATGGAGCACACAGTCGCCGCGCAGTTGGTCGCTCTGTCTCTCTCGCACTCGTGGGGCGTCCCGTAGAGGTGCGAGGAGAGACAGAGCGACGACTTCCAAAATGCAGTGCCTCTCCTCGAGTCAAGCCGATGTCGCCGACGAGGACCCAGCCTTGTCTTTGCGAGCACGCTGTACTCGGCTGCAAACTTTTGGACGTTTGCGAGACAATAATGGCGGACGCCAACTTGTTCGCAGCACTGCCAGACATGAAATCATCAGCCAAGCGAGAAAGAAGCGCAGCGTCGCGGCGTCATTGAAAGGGAAAAAAAATGTCCCGGGGAAAAGTCGCAATAACCTGAAAAGCGCGCGTCTATTAAAGAGTCGGTCTTTTGAAATTGGCGGGACAGTTAATATGTATGTCCCCTCGGGCCACACTAGGGGCCACAGTCAACCACACGGGGCCATTTGGAAGGCCAAAAAGGGGGCCACAGAGTGAGCCGCAAAGTTGAGCCACACAGAGTGAGCCACACAGAGTGAGCCACACAGAGAGTGAGCCACACAGAGAGCGAGCCACACATACAGTGAGCCACGAGAGTGAACCACAGCGACTTGGCCAACCACAGACTTGGCCACACAGAGGCCATACAGAGGCCGCCGAGCCACAGACGCACTGAGGCCACGCAGGTGGCGGCAACTGACCCAGGCACCGGCATCCCTATAGTTACGCAACCGATATTAATTATTGGCTGCCGCGCGGCTGCGTTGCCGGAACGCCGGAATATATGAATGAAGGAATCTGATTCCGTGCTGAGAACGCCATTACCGCCCACGGCAGCAGCACATCTGTTCGCTGCCAGCCACCACACTGCTGACATCACTGCTTAAAAAGTTATTTTTCTTCTGGAATTTCCTCCGTTTTCGCTGTGTCTGACGTTTGCGCATCGCGGTGCGACTTGGCGAACTGGGTCGCTGCTCGTGTGCAGGCCCTGCAAGGTTCACCCTCCATTCAAAAATAAACAGGAGGGGCTGATGTGTTGTGCGAGGAGGAGAAAAGGGGGGGGGGAGCCGCACAGGAGGGAAGGAACGGGGTTGGAGCGAGTATGCACTCTCAAGGCCAGCGGCAGAAGGGAGGTAAAAATATGACGACGGGGCATTTCTCCGTTGGGGCGCTTCTTTCATCCGATTCTGGAGCGTGGCGTAGCTTGGCTTGCCGTGCCATGCCGTGCCATGCCGTGCCGTGCCACGCCGCGAAGAGAGCCACTTACCGGATTGGCCAGGCAGGCCATCCAGGCAAGCCCCTGGACAACAGTTTGGCGGCTTTGCGGCCGGCTGCCGCGTCGCGTTGTCGTCTCGTCTCCGGCGGCGAGGTCCCGCGGGGAAGCCGAAAACCCCCTGCGTGAGCAAACACCGCCCCCTCCGTGCACAGCGCGCTGTAAATGGCTTACGGTAAAAGGCTGCGCCAACATATTATAGTGGAGATTTTCTTCATGATACCAGCAACGAAATTCTTCGAAATATCTACAAGGTACAGTAAATTCTCAATGGTATGTAATAAAGTCAGCTGCACCACCATAAGCAAATGCTTCGTAGGGTTTTCAGAGTGTACAGTGCAACCCCCCATCCTCACACACACAAGGAAAAAAAACAGCGGTAGACGCCTGTGGGTTTGCGCGCCGACACTGGTTTGTGTGCCTTCCGCAAGGTGTGCCGGTCAGTGTGTGACTTGGCGAGCCATCCGCCACTCACCCTGCCGAAGTAAATTGCTTTATCCCCTCTTCCTTTCGCTGCTTTTAGCTGCCCGTCCGATTGGCCTGTGCTAAAGTAGCTTCCCCAGTGCACCTGACAGCAGCCTGACTGGCGGCCGGACCGCCCCTCTACTCCGCCGCCATGCGTGCCCCCCCCCCCCAACCTGGAAATTGTTGAGCCGAATCAGAGATAAGTCTTCTGGTGTGGGCACGCACAGGCGTAGCCCGCTCTCCTCTTTGCTCCAGTCGCTGAACCGAGTCAAAAACGAAAAAAGAGCCGCCGAGCGCAAGTTGGTAAACATGACGGGGCCACGTTGATGTGAGGTGCTTTTTGCAACGCTGATGTGTCTGGCCCTCCGCCAGCGCGGCGCGCTACCTCGCGACGACAAAACAGCGGCAGTGTAGGCACCAAGTTGCACTTTTCGGAGCTCCGCTGGCGCCGCTCGTTTGGCTCTTGTTAATCCGGAGAAAGAAAGCGGGGAGTGAAATTGGCGAGACTCAGGATCGGCGCACCTGCTGCAAGTAAAACACTGATGAACCGAATTTCAGACGATGGAGCGCTCATCGCCCCATTCCTTCAGGGAAATTAGACGATTTAGTATTTATCGCTGGAGATTCCGTTCATGATCATCGTTGTTTCATTTTCAGTAAGGCGAGCCTTGCGGCAGGAAGGCGCCACAAGAAAAACTGCGTCGCTTAAGGCCGGCTTGGCAGAACCAGCGAGAGTGAACGACATTGTTGGGTTGTGTCCTCGCAGGGTAGGCAACCGCAGTTTCATGCTGTGTCCTCGCAGGGTAGGCAACCGCAGTTTCATGCTGTGTCCTCGCAGGGTAGGCAACCGCAGTTTCATGCTGTGTCCTCGCAGGGTAGGCAACCGCAGTTTCATGCTGTGTCCTCGCAGGGTAGGCAACCGCAGTTTCATGCTGTGTCCTCGCAGGGTAGGCAACCGCAGTTTCATGCTGTGTCCTCGCAGGGTAGGCAACCGCAGTTTCATGCTGTGTCCTCGCAGGGTAGGCAACCGCAGTTTCATTGCTGTGAGGAAGGAACGCCCGCAGCTATGTCGGCGCGGCGCGGTGGCGCGGAATCGTGGCGGCACAGCTGGTCGCCTCCGAACGGTGTCGCTCTGCCTCTCTCGCACCCACACGGGGTGCCCCTTGAGTGCAAGAGAGACAGAGCGATTGTTTGGAAGCGCCCCCCAGACTCGCGGCTCACAAAGGCGGCTAAGCCGCGCTCCTCGACTTATAATACGGACACAGCAGGGATTCGATATACGGCGGAAATTGTGGCGTCTGCTGGGCGGTTCCTAGGAGCCGTTTCGTCGCTCTGTCTCTCTCGCACCGTCTTATGGGGCGCACCATGAGTGCGACGGAGACAGAGCGACGAAAGGGGTTGCCGGAATCAGTCTTGCTGCCGGGGAGTCATATCGACGCGATGCCTTTGCAGTTCAATTACATTTCTCGACAGTCAGCGGCTTTCGGAACCTTTACAAACTAGTTTGGGCCTTAAGATGAATTAATGCTGATCCACTTTCAAACGAATACGACAAAATTAACATTCTAAAGAATACACCAATAAAGCCCTAAAGAGCGAACACGCTCTAAAGGGCCTTCAATGGCGTGAAACGTCTTATGCCTTTGGAAGGACATAATGATTATGCCTGAAAGTCCTATACCAGTTTACGCCTTCACTCGTGTAAATTTTGTCAGAATGTCAGAAACCTGTCTGAAAACCTGAACAAAATTCGCACACCTCTGAAAGCTGAAAACTTATTCTGACATTCGCTGCAGAACTCCGGCCATCAATATCAGAATAAGTTTTCAGCATTTCGGCTTTCAGGTGCGCGAATTTTGATCAGGATTTCAGACATGTTTCTGACATTGTGACAAAACTTACACGAGTGTTCACAATGGCATAGCGATTTGCGACATTGCCTTCTTTTTCACCAGTGTTGTGGTGGTTTCCGCGCAGAGTAGCTTCCAGCCAGAAAGGGCGACTCGGTGCGGAGCGGAGAAAGATGCTTGAAAAGACGTATGGAGTGGAGCCCAGATGTAGCGGCCAGCACCCGGGGCGTGCCAGGGCCAGGGTGCCCGGGGGAGCGCGGTGAGGGCCCCACGGGGGGCAAGTGGCCCGTATCTGGATTTGAGCAGCGGCCAGGCCGCCAGCGCTGTAACCGAGACTCCTGACTCACATATCTGACCCTCAGGGGGTTCGCGCCACCGGATTAAAAAGGACAGTGCCACCGGATTAAAAAGGACAGTTTAGGTTTGAAATCTGAAACGCACGCGCCGAACCCCCCGCGAGGAGCGTGGTCCCTAGGCAAGATGATAATGAGGATGTAGGCCGGGCCCCGGGGAGTGATTAGCTTTAATGAAAGAACCCTTGGCGAGGATTGGCGTTGTCAGTGGGCCGACCCGCCGCACGCACAGTCACTCTGTCTCTCTCGCACTCACGGCGCGTTGCGTTCAAGTGCGAGAGAGATAGAGCGACGAGAACGATTACTGTCGGAGGCCTGCAGAGCATTTAGCAGCCGCGTCAGCGAAGCAAGCAAAGCCAAAGTTAGCACGCGAAAAAAAGTCTTTTTTTAAGAGTTGTGTAAAAAGTTGTACTGTAAAGTTTTGTGTATTACAATGAACATACAATGAATGTGGGAACGTGCAAGAACGTATTCAAGGTTTCCGGCGTATTTGACAGGCGTTGCCGACTTCCAGGCGTTTTTGCCACCTGAATGTATACCGAGGGGGCCACCACCCCCGTAATCCTGTGTACAAGTTTGCTGGTAATCTCTGGTAATCCATAGCGTAATCACGTAATCCTTGACAAAATTCTGTCATTTTTCAACGTTTTTGAGTCATTTTCCAACGTTTTCGAGCTATTTTTCAACGTTTTCGAACCAATTTTCGAAAATTTCACGCGTAATCCCTGGTAAATATCCCGTAATCCCGTAATCTTGTGTACACCTGAAATGAGAGTGGTGGCCCCCTCGATTTATACTGAACGTGTTCGAATTTTGTACTATGTATGCTCATCTTTAAATCCCATATTTGGTCTGGAATATTTCCATTCTGGTTTCTGATATCCATATGGTTTTATAATCCATTTATGTAAATTGGAACATTTTTCCACTCTGGGTTCCCATATTCCACTGTGGTAAAAAGTTTTATAATGGAAACTGAAAATCCATTCTGGAAATAATGAGATCCACAGCTGGATTTTGTTCGCGGTGATCAACTCTGCTCAGAGCCTCCAATATTTGCCGTTTCGTGCAGTGTGTGACCAGTGGAAGGCCCAGCTCCGGGCTCCTTGCCGTACTTACGCCCCAAATCCTCTTTCCCTTTCCGGGCCGCTTACATCGGCCGGGGGGGGGGGGGGGGGCGAGGCTGGCCCTTACCAAACCACCAGCGTTACCGTCAGGGACAACAGGCGCGAAAATCGAATTTGGGAGAAATAATAACAACCTCCGCCGCCACGTTTCGCGAAACACACTGCAGAAAATTCCGTAGTTTGCATTCAGTTTTAGAAAAAAAAAACTGTTCGAGAAAAAAGGTACACCGTATCAAGTACAGATTCTTTCACGTTGGTTCTCCCTAGGAAGGATCTCAAACTCAGCGGAAACATGTACGGAATCTCCGCAGTTGCCAAGATACAAAAGATCCAGGCCCAGTCCAGGTGAATGATCGAGCAGGCGTGTTTATTGGGCCTTTTCTGCCGTTGTTTCTACCGTTTTTTTTTCACCGTGCCGTTGTTACTCTTTCCAAGTCGGCGAGGCAGTGCGACGCAAACCATTGTGAGGAAGGGGACTTCGCCTGCCTCGCTTGCTCCCGTGTAGATCAGCGGCCCATTCTCCAGCCGATAGTCGCCATGGTCTTCTGGAGCCAATGGAGCGGAGGGCGCCGAGCCCCAACAGGCGGACGGACAGACACAGACAGACAGACAGACAGGCAGAGACAGACAGGCAGACAGAGTGTTCACCGGATTCCTATCAAGGCACGAGCAGGAACCAGGGGCCACTACTACATAGCTCAGTATTCCAGGTTGCAATAATTGCAGGCAGAGGCAGAAAGAAAACAATTTATGTTCTAAATGTAAAGTGGGGAGATTTGAACCCATGCACGCTGCCGGCGGTCGATGCACGAGTGGCAGCATAATTGCATACGCCCTAACTCCATCAGCTGCCTCTATGAGCTCCAAACAGTACCCCTCTCTTTCTACCTTTCTCTCTCACTCACACACTCACACACAGGCTCACTCGTGTGTTTCGAGTGACACTTGTCTGAAGCGTCCTTGACGCCTTTCTTTAAGCGTGGTGGTTGCTACACTTGGTTTCAACCGTTCCCCGTTCCCCTCTATCGCACCTATCTAAATGCATGGGAAAATTTTCTTCTTTACACTTGACTCCAAGCGTGAAGCCTTTAAGTGTAACTTTAGTCGTAACGTAATGTGCGAATGCTTTTCTCTGTTGCAGTGGGACATGGTGTGTGACCGGGACCACCACGCGTCCTTGGCGCTCGTCCTCCTCAGCGTGGGCGGCCTCATCGGGAACTACGTGTTCGGATACCTCCAGGACTCGTAAGTCACAAACAACTTTTGCAGTACTTCTGTATTTTTTGGGAGGTTTGGGGGGTGAGCTCAGAGCGTATATATCACAACAGGTGTGTACATATACAGTGTCACATCAGTCACGCACAGTCGCAGAGGCAGAGCAAATATTTGCGTGTTTGTACGCAAAAGAAACCCACAGCACGAAATAATTTCCACAGAGGTCCTACCGTACTCACAATGTGCTCTCTGTGTGTGTGCGTGTGTGCGTGTGTGTGTGTGTGTGTGTGTGTGTGTGTGTGTGTGTGTGTGTGTCGCACCGACGAGGGTGTGCTGCGCTGTCGGATGGTCCAAATGGAATGATTTCGTTCATTACTGAGCAAAACTGTCGGGCTGCTTTTATTTGGGAGTAAATATTTCCCACATGACAGGTTGATTTGTCCGTTTACAAAATACTGTCGGTCTGCTAAGAAAAAACTTGCAGGTGGTTCGATAGTTGAACCGGGGTCCTTTGCGTCCGAAGCTGCTCCGCCAGTGCGCACGGCCACGGCAGGCGATTTAAAAAAAATAGCCAAACCGGTTCACTTAATGGATGCAGCCTTAGTGCTGCCCATCGCCACACAATGGGTCGCCTCCAGGCCGCCCCCTCCCCCTGGGTTAATTCTCTCTCTCTCTGTCTCTCTCTCTCTCTGTCTCTCAACCCCCCCCCTCCCCCCCCCCTCGACCTGGAATCGTTCAATTAGTGGCAGTTTGCGGGGCCGTTCCAGGAGACGCAGGGCGGCACAAAGTGCGTCTTCGTCTCCGGATTGGACGGGCCTGATTGAGCACCAGCCAAGGGGCAATAACAACTTGGAAAAATTTTGCACATGGTCGTCTCGAATTCAGTTCGTTATTTTAAAGAAAAACGTAAAACCGGCAGCAGCTTGGCGAAAAGCGTCTTTTAACCCCGGCGAGGGGAGGGGGGGGGCAAAGTTTGGCTTTTAGGCGCCATCTAGTGCATGGTTCTTTTGTACCCCTACTGCACCTGTTCGTTTTGTCCCCAGGATCGGGCGTCGGCCGGCCTTCTTCATCTACCTGCTCATCGAGTGCGCCTTCGGCATCGCCACCGCCTTCGCGCAGAACTTCCTCACCTGGACGGCCTTCCGGGTCGGCGTGGGCTTCACCGTGCCGGCCATCATGGGCACGCCCTACGTGCTGGGTGAGTCAACACTGTAAAAAACTCCGCTCTTTTGTACCGAAATGGTACAGAATGGTGGCGGTACAGTAATTCTCGAAATCATGCGTTTTGATTTCGGACAAATTCATTTTGTTTTTCTCCGGAAGCACGTTGGAAGTCGAATGATTGGTATTGTTGTTGTTGTTGTTGTTGTGGCAATCAGCATGCACCGACTCGCACACAATAATATTTATGTCTCCTCGATTCGATGCCGCGCGCCGCGGCTCCGCGCCATCGCACACGGGCATTACTGCTTTTATCAAGATGGTCGGGAAACTTTTCTGCTTCGGGAAATTAGAGTGAGAGAGAGGGAGGGAGGCAGGGAGAGAGGGAGGAAGGGAGGGACAGAGAGGGGTTGGGAGAGAGGGAGGAAGGGAGGGGCAGGGAGAGAGGGAAGAAGGGAGGGGGAGAGAGAAAGGAAGAGAGAGAGAGAGAGAGAGTCCCGTCGCCTTGGTTCGACTTGTTGTGAGCGAAACTTTGCTCGACTTAATTACAGGTGGTCGACAAATAGCAGCAGAGAATAATGCAACGTGGAGTCGGACCCAGTGGTCCGAGCAGTGGTCGGAATTGCGCGGAACCGAAACGTTTGCCTGTTGCAACGCACCGCTTCGAGTTCTTTGTTTCATCGCCCAGTCACTCTCGCACACCTCGTTGAAGCTCCTCGAGCGCGACAGAGACAGAGCGACAAAACGACTATGCTCGCGACCGCACTGCTGCCGTCTCGTGTTCATCATTCACTGTCCTTTGGTGTGGTGCCGTGCGTGTATGAAACATGGGTGTTTGAATAGGAACTCGCGAGGCTTAATGCGCGTACAAAAACGAGATGAATACTGCAAAATTTAAGTGGTGTCTATTCGGGTTGGAGCCGCGGCTGGAGCACCCGTTTCAAATCCAGGTTGCCCGGGCGTGTGACCGAACCAAACTCACGGTGTTTGTCGGCACTCCGGATTTTATTTATAAGCGACCGACTGCAAAAGCTTATTCTAGAATCGACCTCAGAGGTTCCGCATAGGGGTTCCGAACGCTCGACGCTTGAAAAATGCACACGCTAAAGTCACAACTTTTGTCGGTTCGGTCTCCCTGCCGTGGTAGCCGGAGCGCTGGGCCGTGAGCGCCTCGCGACAAAAGCCTTGTCCGATGGTATTAGTACTTGCGTTTTGTTTCTTTATCGTGTTTTTAATTTTGCTTTGCGTGGGCCCATCCTGTGACAGGCCAAAAAAAAAAAAAAAGCGCCCACACTCACCAACAAAAAAGTGAGCAGCTCGCCACTGCGCTGCAACGCGCCCATTCACCCCCACCCCTTTATTTCCGGAATTGTTTCCCATGTCATCCCCACACTGTTAGGAAACAAAAATTAACTCTTCTCCCGGATGAGAGGCCCCTGTTCTGCCCGCCGCACTTTTGACGGCCGGCGTCCCCGTTCCCCCTTTTTTTCGGCCGGATATTGAACTGGAAGCTCGAATCGAGTCATAATGATGTCTGATGGTTTCAATGCATCCGCTTCCCGGAAACTTTGCCTGGCGGAGCAGCATTGAAAACCGGACGCTAAAAAAGGAGAATGCAGAGAGAGAGAGAGAGAGAGAGAGAGAGAGAGAGAGAGAGAGAGAGAGAGAGTGAGAGAGAGAGAGAGAGAGAGCGACAGGGGTGAAAAAGGCAAAAGTCGTGCCGGTTTGTCGGCGCGTTTTTATTGCTGCCTGCCTCGGCTCCTCGGCGTCCGAAAAATACAAAATAAAACGTTCAAGACTGTTTGAAACGCAAAGCTCGCGAGGCGTTGCGCGCGCCTGGTCCGTTTTACGGCGCGCTAGGACGGACCGCAGTGATAAACGCACGCACGTGTCGCCCACACCGCAAGCCGCGAACGTGCTGCAGGATTTTTAGCATCCCCCCCCCTGGCCTCACCCCATCCCTCCCACATCCCCCAGCCAACACCTTCTCCTGTCACGCGACACCCACCTCCCCCAGTTTCGCCTCACAACCCATATTTTCCCCTTCACCCACTCCCCCCCCCCTCATTCCCACCTCATCCTCAGCCCGCCCCCCACGACCGCCGCCGCAGTCCCCACACCCCGAATCATGAAATCACGAAATTAAGTTTGGACGGTGTGTCAGTCATTCCAAAAAGCGCCCCCGGTGCTCGCGATGGCTCTCCGGCAGCGTCAGCCCGCCAGCCAGCCAACTAGTCAGCCAGTCAGCTAGCCGGCCAGATAGCTAGCCGGCCAGCTAGCCAGCCAGCCAGCTAGTCAGCCAGTCAGCTAGCCGGCCAGATAGCTAGCCGGCCAGCTAGCCAGCCAGCCAGCTAGTCAGACAGTCAGCTAGCCGGCCAGATAGCTAGCCGGCCAGCTAGCCAGCCAGTCAGCTAGTCAGCTAGCCGGCCAGATAGCTAGCCAGCGAGCTAGCCAGCCAGCCAACCAACCAGCCAGCCTGTCAGCGTGCCAGGCGCCCGCAAACAACAATCCGAGCTCGTTTTCGTCGCGCCCGACCCGCTGGCCCTCCTGGCGCACCATCTTTTATCATATCCAGCAGTCGCCAACAACAACAGTCACCAACAACGCCAACAACAACAACAAGAGTCACCAACACGGTTCCATTCATCGCGAGACGCCTCTCCGAGGTGTGCGTGCGCCGCGTGCGCGGTGCGCGCACTGTCAGGCTGGCATGCCGGCTCGCCGCACGCATGTTATTATGACGCGTCTCAATTTGCGTCGACTCCGGTGGGAGAGGGGGAGGCGGCACCGACTGAGTCGGAAATAAAATCGTCATTAATTCTCCGGTGTGTGAGCCGTGCCCAGCGGAGCCGAGCCGAGCTGGGCCGAGATGAACCGGGCCGAGCCGGGCCGAGCCGGGTCGAGCCGAGCCGAGCCGCCAAAGAAACTTGCCGAACTCTTTGAAACGTGAAATGGCACGCGCGGCTCCGCGTGGCTGTGGCTCCGCAAACGTGGTCCTAATTGGCGACGAAGCCGTAAAATTGGCTTCACTGTAAAATTGGTTTCTCGATAAAATTGGATTCTCAGTGAAATTGGTGTCACTGTAAAATTGGTTTCACTGTAAAATTGGTTTCGCTGTAAAATTGGTTTCACTGTAAAATTTGTTTCGCTGTAAAATTTGTTTCACTGTAAAATTGGTTTCACTGTGTACAATTGGTTTCACTGTGTACAGTTGGTTTCACTGTAAAATTGATTTCACTGTAAAATTGGTTTCACTGTAAAATTGGTTTAAAACGATAGTGACTTTTCCTCCCCTTTGCAGCCATCGAGCTGGTGGGGCCCTCCAAGCGGACGGCCGTGACCATCCTCAGCAACATCGCCTACTCCCTGGCCCTGGTGGCGCTGGCCGGCGTCGTCTACCTGGTGCGGGACTGGCGGCAGCTCGCCCTCGCCACCTCGGTGCCCTTCGTCACCTTCTTCCTGTACTGGTGGTGAGTGACCCGGGTTCAAATACCAGATTTTTTTTCCGTTTTTTTTTTTTTTTTTACTTGAAATGTTTTATGGTAAAACGCTTCACCGATTATCATGGTGGAGATTTTCTCCGAAATAATACAGAAATTCGACGAAATATCAAAAAGGTGCAACTAATTTTCTAAGGGAAGTTAAAAAGTCAGCTGCACCGCCATAAATAGAGAGAATTTTCAAAATAAGACGGAGAATATTCGCCATAAGACTTTCAGAGTGTGCAATGAGTGTCGTTACTATGATGCTTCCACGAGGGCCGTGCTTCCTCGAGGTTGACATCCAAAGAGTTCTGAAAAGCGTCCTCTCTCTGAATTCGACTCCGTCCCGTGCCACGCCCACGCCTGGGGAAGGATGGGCAGCCCTCCTTCTGGGGATCCGTTTTCCAACGTCGCCTGCACCGCTAAAAATATTTTTAAAAGAGCGCGCGAGACCGCTGCCCCAATTTCTTCCTTCGTGTCAATAATTCTTGGCCGCCTCTTAATGAACCTGAATTGTGCATCGCGCGCCCGCTGCCTCCACTGTCGCGCGGCCGATGCATTTTTAAGGTCGCGGATGACGGCGCCGCACTGCTCCGCCTGGGGCATACACATTGTTTCGTCTCTGTGACTCACTTATGAGGGCCCTGGGAGACCGCCCCGCCCCCGACACACCCCACCCCGCCCCGCCCCTGACCCACCCCGCCCCGCCCCACCCCGCCCCGCCCCAACCGATCCACGCCGGAATGTCAACCGAGTTCCCGCCGGGAATCCCTGATGGAGATCAATAAATCAGGAGACGAGCAGATATAATGGAATTCAGAGAATACTGAACTGTAGTTTGCTGACTGCGTCTCTTTGACGTCGCGGAAGCAACAAAACAACCGACGCGACAACTCCCACTCGGCAAAAATTTCGTTCCTGGTTATCTCAGGAAATTGTAAATAATAAACGATATATGGGGAGTTATTGGGAAAGCAAAGAATCGTTACTGCCTTGAGGGTTTTTTTTTACCATTAAATTTCATTATATTTTATATACTTGTCCTTTTGTTGAAATTGAACTATACAAAATCCTTTGCGTTTCTTTCCTCAATTTAGTTTTCAAAGTTTCTTGTTACGCCTAAAACCTCACGAAGTATTTTGACCATACATAGTACAAACTAATTTAGTTTCTTATACGAAGAAATAGTTCGTAAAAGACGAAGTATTTTCTTTGTAACCTTATGTATGCTCAAAATACTTTGTTATAACAAGCTACCTTGTAAGACTGGAAAAAGTTAGTAAGGTTTTCAGAGTGTGATATTTTTTGTTGGGAAGTTGGTAGTTAGCTGGTGGTTGACACTACGCCCGTCGCCGAGCTGCGGGGCTGCGGGGCGTCGTCAGTGGGATTTGCTATGCGGTCAATGGGGACGAGCGAAAGCGAGGAGGGCGAAGCTGGAACGTGGGGCGGTTGGGACGCCGAGCTGCGGTTTCAAGGTGCAGGGTGCGGCAGTCGTGGCAGCAGTGGCGGTAGCAGTAGTTGCGGTTGCTGCAGTAGTGAACGTGGTGGTGGCGGCAGCAGTCGTTGCAGTACTGCCGTTTCGGTATTGTCGTTGCGGTAGCAGTTGCGGCAGAAGTGGCGGTGGTAGTCGTGGTGAGCGTAGTAGTAGCGGTAGAAGTGGTGGCAGTAGTTGCGGTAGTAGTCGTGGTGGACGTAGTAGTGGCGGTAGTAGTCGTAGTGGACGTAGTTGCGGTAGTAGTCGTGGTGGACGTAGTAGTGGCGGTAGTAGTCGTAGTGGACGTAGTGGCGGTAGTAGTCGTGGTGGACGTAGTAGTGGCGGTAGTAGTCGTAGTGGACGTAGTGGCGGTAGTAGTCGTGGTGGACGTAGTAGTGGCGGTAGTAGTCGTAGTGGACGTAGTGGCGGTAGTAGTCGTGGCGGACGTAGTAGTGGCGGTAGTAGTAGCGGTAGTAATGCTGGCAGTGGTTGCGGTAGTAGTGGCGGGTTGCGGTAGCAGTCGGGGGATAGTCAGGAGAGCATTCGGGGCAGAAGTCACGGAAGCAGAGAGTGTTCGGGGCGGCGGTCGCGGTGGTAGTGGTGGCAGTGTCCGGGTTCATGACGGCTCGGCTGCGCTGCTCGCAACCTCCTGCCTCGGCTAGTGCGCCACCCACACACAATGCGCGCTGAATCGCAGGCTGGGGGTCCACTAGACGACACCGCTGGGCCAGAGAATGCTGCCCTTCCACCCCTCGCAGGGACCAGCCTCCCCCCCCTTCTCTTTCACCCCGCAGTCCATAAGGCGAAGCAAACAGCTCGTCGTATTACGGATGTGACCCCGCGGTGCGTATTATCATGGCGGGGCGCACAGTGGGCCAGAATGCCGGTGGAGCCGGCCTAAATTCTAGACACGTTTTGAGCTCCAGAGTCGCTAACTGGAACTCGAACCGGACGTGTGACCCCACTAATGGATTGCTCTCCGAACGAGGAATCCATTGGTGGGGTCGCACGTTCGGTTCGAGCCCTGTTTAGCGACTCTGGAGCTCAAAACGCGTCTAGAGTGTTGGCCGCCGCCGCCGGTCTTCTGGCCCAGGCCAGCAGGCAGACTCCGAAGACTCGCTCTGTCTCTCTCACACCGATATGGACGCCTTGTGAGTGCGACAGAGACAGAGCGACAGTCCTTCGGGATGAGGAGGCAGACCGGTGGCGAAGTTTCACAAAGCGACACTTCCCGTGTGCGGTGCCGGCATGGTGCCGGCATGGTGCCGCCATGGTGCCGCGGCGGTCGGTCGTCGACGGGGAGGTCCCGGCGACCGGCAGACCAGGTTGCCAGTGTGGGCGGGCTTGTCTCTATGCACACGTTTCGATCCCCTGAGTCCTCAAAGTGGACGGGGATGGAGATTAAGAGGTGCGTCCCTGTGCACTGTCGCCAACTAATCTTCAGAAATCCCGCAGGGCTTCGCCCGCGATAGCGTTCGATCATTTGTCGTCCAGGAGGCCTGGCCATACCAAGTTCGAGTTAGGGGAGGGTGTTCTGGCTCTTAATGGCAATGGTAATGCGGAGGTAGGCCAGTCGGTGTGCGCGGCGTGTTGCCTACCCGCGACTCGGCGGGCGCTCATCGCTCCACGCCTCGCCGCGGCGCGCAGCGTGACAGGGCCGGGCTGGTGGGGACGCGGCCTTACAGCGTGTCTCACTCTCCTATCTGCTGCCACAGGGTGGCTCACGCTCCTCCCTGTCGCTACAGTGTGTCTCAGGCTCACGCTCCACTCTGCTGCTACAAGGTGTCTGGTGTCTCATGCTCATCTCTGCCGCTACAGGGTGTGCAACGCTCCTCTCTGCCGCTACAGGGTCTTTCTCTCTCTCTCTCTCTCTCTCTCTCTCTCTCTCTCTCTCTCTCTCTCTCTCTCTCTCTCTCTCTCTCTCTCTCTCTCTCTCTCTCTCTCGCTACAGGGTATCTCACGCTCTCTCTGCCGCTCTCTGCTCTATCTCACGCTCTCTCTGCCACTCTCTGCTCTCTCTCACGCTCTCTCTGCCACTCTCTGCTCTCTCTCACGCTCTCGCTCTCTCTGTCGCCACAGGGTGCTCCCCGAATCCCCGCGCTGGCTGCTGGCGCGCGGCCGCTTCCAGGAGGCCGAGGCCATCCTGCGGCTGATGGCACGCGTCAACGGGCGCGCTCTGCCGCCCAACTACTTGGCGCAGCTCATGGTGAGTCAGGATTGACAGGGCACTGCGAATGCAAATCAGCCGCATCACTGTAAATGGCTTCGAGGTGAGCCGCCGAGTTTCCCCGACAACTTTGCGTTTCCCCTTTCTAATCTGAATTCGGGGCGGCGCCTTCGGCATCGGCCTCGACATCGCCCTGACAATCGCATGCCGATTTCCGACGCGGACTGCGAAAAAAAACTCAGGAAAACAAAATGATTAGCGGACAAAAAAAAATTTGCAAACGTCGTTCAAAATTTGGAAATTTAAATGCCAACACTACTTTTTGAATCCAAATGTGCTACTTTCTGTACCATTTTTTGGTGATATAACTGCATGTTTCGCCAACAAAGGGTCGTACCGAAAACCTTGCCTTCAAAATGGCTACTTGTAGACAAATCGCCAATAATTTGGCAATACATTAAGGCCAAAATTTACCAATACATTGACGTGTCGCCAAAATTTGGCAATACATTGACGTGTCGCCAAAATTTGGCAATACATTGACGTGTCGCCAAAATTTGGCAATACATTGACGTGTCGCCAAAATTTGGCAATACATTGACGTGTTGCAGTCAAAGTTTGGCAATAAATTGAAGTTTCGCCAAAATTTGGCAATACATTTAAGTTTGGCCAAAATTTGGCAGTAAACTAGCCAAGCTGACTCAAACTATATGTTTCTTCGTGAGGTCTCTCTTAGTTCGTTAGGATGGGAAGGTTGCCAGTCAGCAAGTGTAACTCGCCCTGCTGTGCCCCACAGCGGAAGTTCCAGCTGGAGACGGCCCCGGCCCCGGTCACGTCGCTGGACCCGCAAAAGCAGCAGTACCATGACCGTACCTACGGTGTGCTGGATCTGGTGCGGACACCTAATCTCAGAAGGAAGACGCTTATCATCACCTTCATCTGGTGAGGCTTAAGCGAGCCTGCCTGCGTCAGGCAACTATAGTGCGGGTTCCGCGGGTTCAAATACCAACTCAATTTTATGTTTTTCGTTTTTTTTTTCTTTCTTTATTTTTTTATTTTCTTTTTTTTTCTCAGGTTCACCAACACGAGCGTGTACGTGGGGCTGTCGTACTACGCGCCGGTGCTGGGCGGCGACGAGTTCCTCAACTTCTTCCTGGCCGGCGCCGTGGAGCTGCCCACCTACCTGTTCCTGTGGCCCGCCATGCTGCGCTGGGGCCGGCGCGTGTCCCTGTGCGTCTCCATGGTGGTGGGCGGCACCGCCTGCCTCGCCACCGTGCTCGTGCAGAACGGTCAGAACTCGAATTTTCTTCTTCTCGAACGTTTGCTGTTGAGACCTCTCTACAAACTCGCTGTAAATGTCATACGGTGAAAGGCTGCACCAGCATATCTGTAGCTATCGGACATAACAGCGCATCTACTATGGGACCGCAATCTACATCAAGTGAAATTGATTGGAAAACATTTGAAGCCGCTCCAATTTTGGAAGGGTTGGGGCTCCAAAGTCCCGGCTCAGGGCTGCGCAGGGCTGCGCAGGGCTGCGCAGGGCGCCTTGCCGGCAGAAGAAAGGACGACGGCGGGATATTAGCGGTGGAGCGGGGGATGAAGGGGAACAGGATTAACACATGCCTGGGGCCGTCCCGGCCGTCCTGGGCCGTCATGCCCCCGCCTGCCGTCTTTATTACATTGTCGGCTCCTAAGTAGGTGGCGGTTCCTCTGACTGGCGGGCCGCCAGGCCGCGCCAGGCCGCCAGGGAGGCAAGTTTGAGGCAGAAATTGCGCTCGAGGGTGCCCGTGTGTGTGTGTGTGTGTGTGTGTGTGTGTGTGTGTGTGTGTGTGCGTGTGCAATGGTGTGTGTGTGTGTGTGTGTGTGTGTGTGTGTGTGTGTGTGTACGGAAGGAGTGTGCTTGTTTGTAATTCGTTAAAGTTTTTCAAACCAATTATTCGTACATTAAGGGCGCACTTAGCTTGTCGGCACCATTAATGAGAAACAAACAGGCGAGGGAGAGGTCGTCGAAGTGAGCAACGCCAGTTTTTTTTTCGGCTGTCTTTTCATGCGGTTCCCTCTTTTTTTTTCGTCATTGCGCGCGGTTTGGTGGGTTAGCGTTTTACATCAGCGCGGTGTGCAAGTCGGACAATTTGCCTTTTTTTTTGTTCTTGTTTGTTTTTGCGGACGGGTTCTCCTCGCTGGTTGGTATTCGGGAATAAAGGAAGGTGCAGTCAATTTGGCGCTGCTTGTCTGCCTGCCTGCCTGCCTGGGCAAGGGGGTGGTCGGGCCGTGCTTTTGACGACGCTGCGGGCCCCACTGCCAGTCGGCGGGCAGGCCCAGGCAGGCCGCGCGCCGCCGCGGGCTAGGTCAGGGCATTCCCGGCACGGAGTCGGCAACGACGCAACGCGGCACCCTTCCTTGAATGAGAAACATGGACATTTCCGGAGATTGCCGCCCTCCATCCTTTTCGTTTCGCGCCGATTTGTTTTTCTTTTTTTGCCAGCGGCGTGGGTCGCGGCGCGGCAGCACGACGACAACAACAATTTTGGCGGTGGCCGGAAACGGCAGCGATATTCCGAAGGAATGGGGTATTTTCTGGGGGAGGACCTGGAAAGGGCCTGGAAGGGTCTGGACGCGTCCACCACGGGAAGGGCTGGAGGCGGCTGGAGGACAAGCCAGAGGGCGGCCCGGGAGAAGGTCAACCCTGTCTGTCCGGGCCGGCGCCTCGGTCGGCGCCTCGGTCGGCGCCGGCTGTCTCGTCCGCCTCAACCCCGGCAGGCGCCCCCCCCCTCCCCCTCCCCCTCGGAGTACTCCGTAACGCAGTTGAGGCCACATTGAGCCCTGCGCGGGCGGACGCACGGCGCTCGCTCAAAAGTCACGCGGAACTCCGTGAATTGTTGATTCCGCACTGTTAGGCCGCGTGACCCGCCGCCGCGAGGCTCCGCCCGTCACTTCTGGGCCGGACCGGAAGTGGCAGTGTCTCGAACCGGAAACGGCGGACAGTGCCGCGAGAGGCCCGGTGAAATGCCACCCGGCGGACCGACGCTTTCCATTACGCATTGCCGGAGAGAGAGGGGGGGGGGACCAAGCCAAATGAGAGGCCCCCGCCTCAGGTTTCTATCCCGCCGTCGCAAAGGAAGGGGCGGGTGTCTTTATTTAAATTTGCGGGCGCGAGGGGTGCCGGCCGCGCGGACAGCGGACGGTCAGACAGACGGACAGACAGATCGACGGACTGCTAAATAGACAGGTACAAAGGCGCGCAGTAATGATACGTTTGCATGCGGGCTGGGGCTGATCGAACGCGCGTGCAGCCTCTGTTCCATTCCCCTTATTTACGCCCCCCCCTCCTTCCCCCCCCCCAACCTTCTCCCTTTCCCCCTCCCTTTGCCCCTCCCTTCCCCCACCCTTCCCCACCCTTCCCCCACCCTTCCCCCACCCTTCCCCCACCCTTCCCCTCACCCTTCCCCTCACCCTTCCCCTCACCCTTCCCCCCTCCCTCCCCCCCTCCCTCCCCCCTCCCTCCCCCCTTCCGTCCCCTTCCTTTCACCTTCCCTCCCCCTCCCCCCCCCCAACCCCAACCCCTTCACAAACCCCGGCATCCCCCGCGGGGCAACCATCTCCGGCGCATACCTCGTCGCGTTTTGCGCGCCTCCTGTACACCAGGTATTTTATTCGCGTGCAAACAAACAGCAGCCAGCGGCCGGCCGGAGCTTCCGGGCTCCACGTGTGGCTCCGCGTGTGGTCCCGAAGGCCAATATCCCCCCTCCCCCTCCCCCTCCTCACCCTTTATCCGCGCCATTTCGCATGCAAAAGCGTCGCGTGTGTCTGTGTGTGTGCGTGTCGCGGTGCGCTCTTTCGTCTGTGTGGTGTCTGTCTGCCTGTCTCTCTGTGAGTCTGAGTGTTTGTGAGGGCGTTGTGTGGGTGTGTGAGTGTGGGTGTGGGTGTGTGAGTGTGGGTGTGTGGGTGGGTGTGCCGGGGTGTGTGTGTGTGTGTGGGTGTGTGTGTCGCGGTGCGCTCTTTCGTCTGTGTGGTGTCTGTCTGCCTGTCTCTCTGTGAGTCTGAGTGTTTGTGAGGGCGTTGTGTGGGTGTGTGAGTGTGGGTGTGAGTGTGTGTGTGTGGGTGGGTGTGTGTGTGTGCGAACTGCACCCACGCGGTGCGCGGTGCGCCCTGGGATCGGGTAAGCGACACGCTCTCAGTTATTCGGCTGGCTTAGCAGCAGCCCGACTCGGCGTCTAAAACCCCCGATGTGCGTGAGTACACAACAGCCCGCCCCGCAGCGACAGCGTCGCGAGGTCGCGGCGCTACGACACTGTTTCCAAGCTCGAGTCTACACGCGGCGCGGCCTCCAAGCCACACTCTAAATGTCTTACGAAGAAATTTCCCATAATACGAAGGAAATGGCGCAACCATAATACGAAGGTGGTTTTTCTTCGTATTACGAAGGTTTTTCTTTGTATCTTACAAAGAAAAATCTGAAAAGATTCGTATTACGAAGGAATATTGCTTCGTATTATGCTTGCACCGAATCCACTGTAACATACGAATAACATAGGTCAAATTTCATTGTAAGACATTTAGAGTGCACAACGCCGAGAAGGCACACTGGAAATCCAAACACGCTATGAGTACAGCGGCAATTGTTTCGTCAAATTCGTGCAAAACGTGCTACGACAGTGCACTGAAAAACCAAACGTGGTCTAAACCACACCATCTGGTGTGGTCAAATGGGTGCCATTTTGACCACATCAGTTGGTGTGGTCTAGACCATGTTTGGTGTGGTCATTGCATGGAAAGACCACACCAAACGTGGTCTACCACACCAACTGATGCGGTCAAAATGGACGTGCTGTGTTGATAGCGTTTGGAAGCGCGGTGCAGCAGCAGCAATATCAGCAGTGCTGTACTTTTCTCCTCACAGTGCAGCATCGCAGCGGCCGCTTCCCCCTGCAATCAAACTCGCCCCAAGGTGCGCCTCGCTCCACCTGGGCCCCGCCGCCTAGGCCCCGCCGCCTAGGCCCCGCCGCCTAGGCCCCGCCGCCTAGGCCCCGCCGCCACGCCGAGCCTTTTTGCTCTGCGATGGAATCGCCATTCACTCCGGCAACGGAGCCACCCTCTGCAGAATGATTCCAAGAGTCGTCGCTCCGTCTCTCTCGCACTCGTGGGGCGCCCCGTATAGGTGCGGGAGAGCGACGGAGTGACGACTCTCGGAATCAGCTGAGAATGTCGGACACGCTGTTCGAGCCCCGCGACGCGCCGCCGGCAGACTGACTCCGAGGCTCGTTTTCGCCCCCATCGCTCTCTCGCTCTCTCTCTCTCTCTCTCTCTCTCTCTCTCTCTCTCTCTCTCTCGCACTCACAGGCGTCCCCTGTAGGTGCAATAGAGACAGAGCGACGAAAACGGCTCTCGGAATCAGTCTGCTGACCGTGTTGACGTGTACGCGCGCGGTCTGTCCGTCCGTCCGCCTGTTTGTTTGTCTATCTGTCTGCACCTCTGTGTCCGTCTGTCTGCCTCTATCTGTGTATCTGTCCTGTCTGGTTGTCCATGAATGAATGAACGAATGAATGAATGTGTATGAGTGAGTGGGTGAGTGACTGAGTGAATATTGAAGGAGTGAGTAAGTGAGTGATTGAATGAATGAGTGAGTAAGCGAGTGAGTGAGTGAGTGAGTGAGTGAGTGAGTGAGTGAGTGAGTGAGTGAGTGAGTGAGTGAGTGAGTGAGTGAGTGAGTGAGTGAGTGAGTGAGTTAGTGAGTGAGAGAATGAGTGAGAGAAAGGATGGTGGGTGGTCCATGAAAGAGAAGACTGATGAGGAAAAAAGAATCGCTGTGAGTTTCGGCAACCCAGCGACCATTACATTGAAATCTGGAGAGTAAGTTAGTTTCCCTTGCATTCAGGCATTCGCATCAGATTGCGCCCTGGCAGCCGCCCAAGTTTTCCGCGCGTCGTGCGGGCCGCGAGAATGCCGCCGCTTACCGCTCTCTCCCTCCCTCCCTCCCTCTCTCTCTCTCTCTCTCTCTCTCTCTCTCTCTCTCTCTCTCTCTCTCTCTCTCTCTCTCTCTCTCTTACCCTCATTTCCTATCGTCGCGAGAACAAAACAAAACAATCCGCGAGCACACTGTAGAGCGAATAATGACACCGGTCCAGCAGCGAAGCAGCGAGTCTGTGTGAGTCCCCGGGCGAGGCTAGGCGAGCCACAGTGGACCAGAACACCGGTGGAGGCGGAAAAAACTCTAGACGGGTTTTGAGCTTCAGAGTTGCTAAAAGGGACTCGAACCGAACGTGTGACCCCACCAATGAATTGCTCTCCGAACGAGGAATCCATTGGTGGGGTCACACGTTCGGTTCGAGTCCCATTTAGCGACTCTGGAGCCCAAAACGTGTCTAGAATTTTGGCCGCCTCCATCGGTCTTCTGGCCCACAGTGCGGGCGAGGCTAGGCGGGCTAGGTCGGAAGTGCGTTTGTTTGGTGAGCTGCAGCGCCGTTCGCGGAAAACATCGGCCAACTCTGTTCCCTCTCATAATCCACCATCCACCCATCCAGCCCCGGGTCGATTCCTGGAATCCCTATCATCTCGGCCGCACGCACGGCAAAAGTACCGCCTGGGATTCCCAGGCGCATCATAAGGAAAAGGGCCTATTTTCCAGGCACCGCCTGGGAATCCCAGGCGGTACTTTTGCCGTGCGGACCAAACTTCCGAATTTCTAAGTTTCCTGGACCGAAAAGACGGAGCCACACCCAAAAAAAGGGGTTTCTTGAACCAAGACAGTTTTTGCTCCAAGTATATTTATACTCGAATTTTTCATGCAAATTTACTGGTTGCAGGTGAGTTTAGGTGGTTCAAGTAAATTATCTTGTTTCAAGTAAATTTTCTTCTTTCAAGTAAATTATCTTCTTTCAAGTAAATTATCTTCTTTCAAGTAAATTATCTTCTTTCAAGTAAATTATCTTCTTTCAAGTAAATTATCTTCTTTCAAGTAAATTATCTTCTTTCAAGTAAATTATCTTCTTTCAAGTAAATTATCTTCTTTCAAGTAAATTATCTTCTTTCAAGTAAATTATCTTCTTTCAAGTAAATTATCTTCTTTCAAGTAAATTATCTTCTTTCAAGTAAATTATCTTCTTTCAAGTAAATTATCTTCTTTCAAGTAAATTATCTTCTTTCAAGTAAATTATCTTCTTTCAAGTAAATTATCTTCTTTCAAGTAAATTATCTTCTTTCAAGTAAATTATCTTCTTTCAAGTAAATTATCTTCTTTCAAGTAAATTATCTTCTTTCAAGTAAATTATATCGGCACAAGCAACCACGTTTTTGGTTAGTTTGGTTCCGACAAAAAAATTCTCTTGTTTCCTCTAAGTTATCGTGGTTTAAGAAGGCACTATTTTGTGTGCGGGATTTGGCGCTGAAAATGATCGTCCGTTAGAAAAAGTGAAATAATGATACGTCTTTGCTCCTTCCGCTTCCCGGGGGCACCCCTGGCCGGCCTCGCCCCGCCGAGTCAAGCGATTAATCACGAACGTGGCCCCCGTCCCGGCCGGGCTGTCCCATTTCAACGCGTCGACGGTGCGAGCCGCGAGCCGAAGCAGCCTGCGATCTGGGGCTGGCTTTCGCCATTGCAGTGTGCTGGCTGCTGTTAATCAAGCGCAATCGACTTGGATTTTTCCTGTTTCTACTTAAAAAAAGAAAAAAGGGAATAAATTATTTAGCGGTCAGCTGATATGTGATATGGAGCCTTCGTGTTGTTTTCCACGTGGTTATACTATACTTTCTCAGCACTTTACTGGCTTTTTGCTCATTTTGTAAGTACTTATGCAAGTAATTTGTGCAACCATAATGCGTATCCTTGCTTATACGACTACGTACTTAGTGAGAAAAAAGTCAGTCACGTGCTGAGAGTGTACGTAGATCACTAAAGCAATAAATTATAAAATTTGTTTACTTTAGAAGCGTGTCGTTTTTATCAAATTTGTAAGTTAAACTAGTGGCTGCAAATCTTCGCTAATAATAAATTATAACAAAAAAAAAACAAGTTTCAAACTGGAAAAAAAAATTGGTGAATTTGCAGTCTTGCTGAAAACTTGCTGAGGGATTGTCTCGACGCTCCCCGCCCTCGTCCCCGCCTAGGGGCAGTCAAGGCCGGGCGAGCCGCCACGCAGCTGGTGCTGCTTGTTGACTCCTACTACTTATCCATCCCAGACTAGTCCCCCCCCCCTCTTTTCCCCTCTCGCGCCAACTCCAATCACCACCCCCCGCCCTTTCCCCCAGCCGCCGCTGTTTGTGACGCTTTCCGCCGTGGTCGCCGGACAATCGAAACTTTTTGCAGAAAGAAGAGAAAAGAACGAAATTAACGAGGTCCATTATTAACTGCGACACTTCATTCCGCCCATTAAAATCTCATCAAATTACGTGCACGTCCTTCGTTGCCAACCTGCCCTCGGTCCGGCTAGCCTCACACAGTGGGCCAGAAGACTGGTGCCGGCGGCCAAAACTCCAGACGCGTTTCGAGCTCCAGAGTCGCTAAACAGAACTCGAACCGAACGTGTGACCCCACCAATGGATTCCTCGTTCGGAGAGCAATCCATTGGTGGGGTCACACGTTCGGTTGGAGTCCCATTTAGCGACTCTGGAGCCCAAAACGCGTCCGGGATTCTGGCCGCCGCCACCGGTCTTCTGGCCCACTGTGGCTCGGTCCGGCTCGGCTCGACTCGGCCTCACCGATATTGGCCGTGACGTGGCTGGCCCGGCCTGCTCGGCTCGTACCGGAATGCATCTGCTCCCGGTTCCATTCTTTTCTCGGTGCTCCAGACGGGGCAGACAAGCACACTGGCATTGATTGATATCTCGCTGCAGCAGCGGTGGCACAACAACAACAGTGTCAAAAATAACAACAAAATGTCGAGGTTTCGCCGGTTTCCCCGCTGCGGTGGATTTCGTTCCAGTTTCCGTTGGCGAATTCATTCCCCCTTTTTAACCGGGCGCTTTGTATGCAGGTTTGAATAACGGTCGGACGGCAAAGGCAACTCCGGTGTCCCGCCGAAGCGAGCCGAGGAGAGCGACGCGAGGCAATCGCCCAACTCGCCCAATTCGTTCCGCCGCGATCGGCGACCAGCTGCGTTGTTTCCACCCGGTCGGGGAAAAAGTACCCGCGCTCTTTCCTCGTGTTGTTGTTGTTTCTATCGTCCTTGTCGTTGTTGTTGTTGGTACCATTGTTGTTGTAGTGGATCGTGTTTAATGCTTGAAATCATGCGCATTCGATTTCAGGCGTATCCGTTTTCATTTTCTTCAAAAGTACGTTGCGAGACAATTGATCGTTGTCCAGGCACGTGCGTAACGAGGGGGCCACCACCCCCGTAATCCTGTGTACAAATTGGCAGGTTATCTCCGGTAATCCATGCCGTAATCACGTAATCCTTGACAAAATTCCGTCATTTTTCAACGTTTTTGAGCCATTTTTCAACGTTTTTGAACCAATTTTCCTAAATATCATGCGTAATCCCTAGTACATTTCCCGTAATCTTGTGTACGCCTGAAATGAGGCATGGGGATGATAGACGTTCTTTCTGTTGGCAGACCCCACGGTGACGCTGGCGCTGTACTGCGTGGGCAAGATGGGCATCTCGTCGTCCTTCGTGGTGGTGCCGCTCATGGCCAGCGAGCTGTACCCGACCGTGGTTCGCGGCCTGGGCATGTCCACGTCGTCCGTCGTCGGCATGCTGGGGCCCATCTGCATTCCCCTCGTCAACTACCTGGTATGCGCCGCCCGCGCGCCGCCCGCCGGCCGGCATTCTGATTCCGAGACTCGTTTCCGTCGCCCTGCCCTCTCTCGCCACTCGTGGGGCGTCCCGTGTAGGTGCGAGAGAGGCAGAGCCCCTGGCAAAAAGGCACATATTAAATTTAATAAATAATTAATTTGTAATTAATTAATTTTTTATTAGAGTTGACTTTAATTAAATTTTGTTAAATGCTAATTAAATCTTGTTAGTGGCCAAGAATAGAGCTATCTATGAACACGAGTAGACTAATTAATAGGTCAGGCTGAAATGAAATTTAATTATTTTTAATATGTAAATAATAAGTTTTAATTATATTTAATTAAATTTATAAGCGCTAATTAGAGCTTTATTAAGCTGTAGTTTAATTAAAACACATATGATTTAATTAAATCCCTACCCACGTTAATGAAAATGTTGCATACCAGTAAGATAATCAGAGTTGAGATCTGCTATTTGAGTGTGAGACGGCATTCTCCATGGCCGCCCAACTCTCCAACACTTGTGTGTCAGAGGCAAGTCTAAAAATCACATCACACTTCCTTGAGCGCGATGGAGGAGAGTGAATAGCCTGCGCGACTAGTGCATGCGGCGATGTGAGTCAACACCGCGAGCTAAGGGACTAAAGTAGACCTCAGCGCCATCTAGCGGCGGACAGACTTTTATTAAACTTAATTAAATCTTGCAGGGGATAACACCAAGTTCCTTAACATATGGCAACACCTACTTACTCGAGAGAGGATTTAACGACGAATATGACTCGACACTCTTGTTTGTCACCGGACTTTTCAAAGAAACCTTTGGAAATCACACTTTACATTAACTACATAAAGTCTTTATTAAAAATGATAATAAAAGCTAATAAATGTTTATTAAACCCTCTTTGTTAACAAGTTTTAATCAACATTTAAAACCTTTTATAAACGGTACTTGTTAAAATTAATTAAAGTCAATAAGCACCCGTGATAAAATTAATTAAAACACAGCCCCTAATAAAAAATTAATTAAGAATTTATCAAAATTTATTAAATGTTAATAAAAGTTTTTTACGAGGGGCGACGGAAACGACTCTCGGAATCAGTGTGCTGCCGCCTCCAAGATGACCGCGGAGGTGGCCGAGGGGAGGAAAGGGAGGAGAGGGGAGGGACGGGAGGGGACGGGAGGGGTGGGGGGCTGCAGAAACACGCGCAACTCCTATTGGCATTTTCCCGTTTTTCATATTCGAGCCTCGGACATGCTCGGACTGTCACGCTTCTGCGTTCGCGTCTGATCGGAAACCTTAAGCTGCAGGCCGATTCCGAAAGTCGCGTTTCGTCGCTCTGTCTCCCTCGCGCCTACACTGGACGGAGTGTGGGAGCGACGAGCGCCGGAAGCGACTCTCGGAGTCAGTCTGCTGACCGCGACGTCCCCGCAGCGGTGCACAGTGGGTCAGAAGACCGGTGGAGGCGGCCAAAACTCGAGACGCGATTTGAGCTGCAGAGTCGCTAACCAGGACTCGAACCGAACGTGTGACCCCACCAATGGATTCCTCGTTCGGAGAGCAATCCAGTGGTGGGGTCACACGCTCGGTTCGAGTCCCGTTTAGCGACTCTGGAGCTCAAAACGCGTCTAGAGTTTCGGTCGCCTCCACCGGTCGTCTGGCCCACTGTGCGGTCGCAGCGGTGCCCTTGGACCCTGGTTCGCCCTGCTTGGAATCTGCCACGCAAATTGAAGGGCGCGAATGCGCGGCGCCCCGCTTGGAGTCGGTGTCACAAACAGACAGGCCGATCCGTTTCCACCCTCGACTCGTGAACGCGCCTCGCCCTCCAGAAGGCTAAAGCGGTTTTCTCTTTCGGATTTATTTTTCGGGGTGGGCCGAAGATGTGAGCCGTTATTGGCAATATATTCGCTCTGCGGATAAGGCAGTGTAAGTCTGGCTTTAACGCCGCCGTGTGAATAGCAGCGCAAGCGCGCGCACACTGCGAGGACACACCTGCAGTGTAAAAAGGCGCGCGAACCTCTCCCTCCTCATTTCCACGGCAGCCAAGCAGTATCCAATAAAGTCGTTTTGTCAGGGGCGGGGCGTGGCGGAGCCGACGCGAATAAGGTGTGCGGGTTCAAACACTGGCGCGGAAAATTTTTATTTTTATCTTGCCTCCTCCAGGGCGCGGACATGCTGGTGCTGCCGCTGCTGGTGATGGGCGCGCTGCTGGTGGCTGGCGGCGCGTGCTCTCTGCTGCTGCCCGAGACGCTCAACCAGCACCTGCCGCAGACACTGGAGGACGGCGAGCGCTTCGGCCGCGACCACATGCCGTGCTGCACCTCCAGGCGAGTGCCGAGACCGGCCAAAGACGCGTTTTGAGCTCCAGAGTCGCTAAATGGGGCTCGAACCGAACGTGTGACCCCACCAATGGATTGCTCTCCGAACGAGGAATCCCTTGGTGGGGGTGGGGTCACACGCTCACACCCCACACCCACACGGTCACACCCCTTTTTACAGTGTATCGGGAGATTACAGTGTGGCATTAGTTTGTTTTGGCTACGCGTGCCGCCATTGTCCATCAAGCCCGTCCGTTGTCCGCGAAAGGAACGTCCTGGCACCACACTGTACTCGGCGACAATGCCCAGCAGCAGATGCAATCCGCGACCATTTTCCATTTCCGCGTCATTATTTCAACTTTCCTTTATTAATGCGGCGATTGGCTTCCCTGCAGAGTGGCGGACTCGGCGATGCAGAACACAAAAGGCACCCTGGGCGGCACACTGGGCGGCGGCGTGAAAGACGCGGGCGCGGCCAACCTCGCCGACTCCCCGTCGAGCAGGTGAGTGAGTGAGCGAGGCCCGAGGGAAAAGTGCGGGAGAGCGACTCCGACAAGGAAAAGTTGTCGGTTTGAGTTTCGGAGCCGCGGCTGCAGCGAGGGTGCGTTTGGCGGTTGCAGAATGGGGCCGGACTCGACGCCGAACGCCACGGACGCGACGTCGTCCACGGACGTGGCCTCGGACACCACCGGCCCCCACTCCGTCAGCGTGTCGGCCGTATGACGGCCGGCGATGAACGGCCGGCCCCCGTTCACGCGCGCACCACCACCCCCGCAGGGACCGCAGGCCCCCGACGACCCCGGGGGCGGCGAGGACCCCGCCGCCGGCCGGCCGCTGCCGTCGCTCGTCACGGAGCAGGAGAAGACCAAGTCCAAGCGGAAGTCGCGGCGGAAGGACGCCGCCGTCAAGGACGCCGTCAAGGACGCCGTCAAGGACGCCGTCAAGGACGCCGCGGACGACGAAGAGTTCCCGCCGCCGCCGTCGCCGGAGCTGCCGCCGCCGCCCTCCGCAACCACGCCGCCGGCCGCCGCCAAACGGAAGACCGTGGCCTTCGCGAACCTGCCCTCCAGGGACTCCTCCGGGGACGAGAAAGACGACAAGGAGGAGGCTCGCGCCCCCGCCGTGCACATCGTGAGGGTGCCCGTGCCCGTCCCGGTGCCCGTGCAGTGCCACTGTGCTGCTGGCGGCCCTGGCGGCGGCGGCCCTGGCGGCAGCACTCCCTGCCCGTGCGCGCAGTTCGCCTTCCTGCACCCCGTGCCGCACCCCAACCCCCAGTTCGAGGACTCCCCCTTCGTGTGGGTGCTGCAGGCACGGCCTCGGCGGCGGCGGGACTCGAACCTCGGCCTCCCTGCCGCAGCGCTGTGCCACCACGCCGCCGTCCACCACGACCACGCCGTCAGTCACCACGCCGGCGGTCACCACGCCGCCAGCCACCACGACCACGCCGTCAGTCACCCCGCCGGCCACCACGACCACGCCGTCAGTCACCACGCCGTCGGTCACCCCGCCGGCCACCACGACCACGCCGTCGGTCACCACGCCGTCGGTCACCCCGCCGGCCACCACGACCACGCCGTCGGTCACCACGCCATGCAGCCGGCCTGCAGACACGCGCAAGGGTCGTCACCGCACAAGGTGCACTTCGAGGGGCACTCGCCCTCCAAGGCCTCGGTGCACGTCACCTTCGCCGTGCCGGAGGACCCCAAACCGCCGCCAGAGATCCTAGTGACGTCATCCGACGACGCGCCGCCGCAGAGCTAGAAAGTGTGATGGTGAGCGGCCAGAGAGTGCATCAGTGTGGGTGGAGTGGTGACTCCGCACTGGCTGGCAGAGCCTCGGCCAGAGAGTGCAGTGTAGGTGGAGTGGTGACTCCGGACTCCGCGCTGGCTAGCAGAGCCTCGGCCAGAGAGTGCAGTGTGGGTGGAGTAGTGACTCCGGACTCCGCGCTGGCTAGCAGAGCCTCGGCCAGAGAGTGCAGTGTAGAGATGTATTGGTGACTTCGCTAAGTAGGCCTCGCATATGGCGCTGCGCGGTGCTGCGCGGCGCGGCTGGGCTGGTCCCACATCCTAAACTAAGGCCATTCGCGAAGTGCTTTGTCGGCCGCGATAAACTCTGGAGAAGGCGGAGACGGGACCAAGATTTGAGAAAGGGGGCAGGGGGGGGGCCGCTTCGCCCTGCGGGTTGAATTATTGTATGTGAGGTAGCGGGTTCGGGTTTATATCTCGGTTCCTTACGCCCCGACTTTAATGCACTGAGTTAAAACAGTGAATAATTTTTCGATTAGCGCCCCGTGGCGACGGCCCGCCGCTCGCGGGGGCAGCGGGGGGCGGCCGGGGGCGGCACCGAACGTTTGCCAACCCCGCGGGCAAGAAGGCGCTTGTTTCTTGTTTTTAGGAGGGGAGAGTTGGCAGCAGTAGTTTACGCACATTTGCGGCCCCTCTTCCTCGGAAGCGCAAAGCTGGAGCAAAAGTGTGCAGCACACTCGCCAAACACGTGTCGGGATTGGGCGATCGTTTCTGCCTTGCTGGCCTTGCTGGCCTTGCTGCTGGCCGCGTTCATTGGACGGCATTATTTGCCGAATCCTCCCGGTTTTTATTCCTTCCGCCTCTCGTAATGAACCAGGACAGTCCACGGCAACAGCAGCCCGACCTCGCCCTCCTCCTTCCCCTCATCCTCCTCCTCCTCCTCCTCGTCCTCCTCGTCCTCCTCCTCCTCCTCCTCCTCCTCCTCCTCCTCCTCGTCCTCCTCATCCTCCTCCTCCTCCTCCTCCTCCTCCTCGTCCTCCTCTCATCCTCCTCCTCCTCCTCCTCCTCCGTCCTCCTCATCCTCCTCCTCTCCTCCTCATCCTCCTCCTCCTCCTCCTCTCCTCCTCGTCCTCCTCATCCTTTCTCCTCCTCTCCTCCTCCTCCTCGTCCTCCTCCTCTCCTCCTCCCCTCCTCCCCTCCCTCCCCTCCTCTCCTCCCTCCTCCTCGTCCTCCTCCTCCTCGTCCTTCTCCTCGTCCTCCTCCTCGTCCTCCTCCACCACCTCCACCACCACCAACACCTTCTCCCTCCTCTTCTTCTTCTTCGCGGCGGGAAATACATTTTTCGCCTTTCTCGCTCTCCGAGATATTTACATTCATCCTGTTTTTGCGTGTCGCGTTGGCCACTCTGGCGGATAGGATAGGTGGCTCGCCCGGCAGATTTCGAGAGTCGTTCTCGGCTCTCCGTCCCTCTCGCACCTACACGGGGCGCACCATGAGTGCGAGAGTGACAGGAGCGACGTAAACGACTCTCGGAATCAGTCTACAGGATTGCGACCATTTTTCTTGGCCATGAATGAGCGACGCTCCGGAAGCCGAGACAGTCGGCTTCTCGTCTGGACCGGCGACAGCTGCGGGGGCAAAAAAAAAAGAAGAGAGAAGAAGAAAAGGATTAAAAAATAGGCGGACCAACAAATCTTTTCCATAATATTTTGTGTGGGGAAAAAGAATCTGAATCTGCGCGCGCATTCCTCCCGCACAGAAAATCGGATGAATAGAGAGAGACAAGCGACTTGCCGGGAGGAGCTGGCGGGGCACAGTGGGCCAGAAGAACGGTGGAGGCGGCCAAAACTCTAGACGCATTTTGAGCTCCAGAGTCGCTAAATGGGACTCGAACCGACCGTGTGACCCCACCAATGGATTGCTCTCCGAACGAGGAATCCATTGGTGGGGTCACACGTTCAGTCGAGTCCCATTTAGCGACTCTGGAGCTCAAAACGCGTCTAGAGTTTTGGCCGCTCCACCGGTCTTCTGGCCCACTGTGCGGGGACGTGGTGCCCCACGGCGGGGAGGGGGTGGGGTGCCCGGGACAAAACGGCGGTAAAAACAGCCAAAAAAGGGGTAAAAAAATCGAGGAAAAATAAAACGGCGTCGCAGTGGTGCAACTGGCTTTCACATAACACGGTGCCACCTTGGGGAAGGGACGTTAAGTGCCTGCCACGCGGATAAATCTACTGAAAAAAACAATAATAAAAGAGAATCGGAAATGGGGCAGAGGGCTTTGCAGCGGCCGTACCCCTTGTCTTGTCCGTGCCCCCCCCCCTTTCTCTCTCTCTCTCTCTCCCTCGTCCTCCCTCTCCCTCCCGCTCTCGCGGTGGCGAGCCTCCATTTAGACCACTCGGACGGGGCTGTGGATTTCAGCGCCATGCTTCGTGGCCATATGTGCGCGGTTCAACCCCTCCGCCCCCTCCCCCTTTCCCCACCGGCCAATCCCCCCTCCCCCTCCCCCTGGCCGGGAGGGCTCATTCATTCTGGAAACAAAAGCAGCCCCCGGGACAATGAGGGGAGGGGGAGTGGCTTAGGGCCTGTGACTCGGGTAGGTAGTTTCGCCCACCTGTTACTTACCTGGGCTGATTGCATTCCTGCCCCTTGCCGGCCCTCACCGGGCCGCTTACCTGCCCAGCCGAGTCGTCCACTTCTTGTTCTCGCACAGTGGGCCAGACGACCGGCACGGACGGCCAAAAGTCGGGACGCGTTTTGAGTTCCAGAGTCGCTTAACAGGACTCGAACCGGACATGTTACCCCACCAATGGATTCCTCGTTGGGAGAGCGATCCACTGGTGGGGTCACATGTTCGGTTTGATTCCCATTTAGCGACTCTGGAGCTCCGAACGCGTCGGCGATTTTGACCGCCTCCACCGGTCTTCTGGCCCACTGTGCTAACCTTGCTAACAGGGTTCGGCTTAAATTGCCTACCGGATCTTCTCAGGTCAGGTTTCGTTCGTCAGCCACCCTCGGTTAGTTTGGAGTTTTGTTTTTCTTTGTCGAAAACGAGTGAACTGCTGCACTGTGTAACACTTCCGGCGCGGCCAGCACGTGTGACAGCTGCTCACTTCTTTGCACTGAACCTCAGAGGCAGCTGGCTGGCGCATTTCTGTCCCGCCTCCGTGAGTCTTTTTGCGGAGGGTGGTGTCACGATCGTATCCAAAATGCATGGAGGGACTAAGTCGGGAAAGCCCGGAAGCGGCAGGGGAGAGGTCAGCCTGAGCGATTCGGGCTCGGCACGTAGATTTGCCTCTCTCTCTCTCTCTCTCTCTCTCTCTCTCTCTCTCTCTCTCTCTCTCTCTCTCTCTCTCTCTCTCTCTCTCTCTCTCTCTCTCTCTCTCTCTCTCTCTCTCTCTCTCTCTCTCTCCCTTCCCTCCCAGCCCCTGCGTCACTCTCTATCTTCATCTCTATCTCTGTCCGTGTATTTCCATAGTGTGGGCGAGACCCGTCTCTCTCGCGCCCTAGCGGGACGCCCCATGAGTGCGAGAGAGACGGAGCCTCCTACAGGGGCCAAAGGGCCAAAGGTCGGAGGGCGCGTGTCGTGAACAAAAGGGCTGCAGGCTGATTCATGGCAACGACTGCCTGGTCATGGCTATGGCTGGCTATCCATCCGACCACCGCTGACCACTCACAAGCGGCCGGCCGGGTACCACCACTGTAATGGGAGGGGAGGTTTATGATCGGGCCAGCAAGGAAGGGGTGTGCCTTGCCACGTCTTGTGCACTGCTCACCGTCTCTGTCTCTCTGTGTCTGTCCCCCCCCCCCTCACTCCCCTTCCTTCCCCCTTCTCTCTCATCTCCCCCCCCCCCCCCCACCACCACCACCACCATTCCCTGCCTCTCTCCCCTACTCTTTTCTCCGCTAAAGATAATTTGGGTGTCTGATTTTGTTGCAATCATTGGAATGTGGGTACGATTACGATACGTCTCTCGTTCCACTTTGTGTTCGTTCAGCATGATGTATCCCTCTCGCTTTAGTAATCGGAAAACTATTGTATCACCTGCGTAATGTTTCTCTCGATGAAGTTTTGTTCTGAGGGAAATGATGCTCAATAGAAAACGATCAATTAAAAGGAAAAGAAAATCACCAAAGTGCCTTCTGAAAGAAATTGTTTAGCAACGTGAGTGATAAAAGATAAGTAAGTACTTTAGCACACAGAACTGTTTTTTTTTCTGCTCAGTGTAGAGACATGTACAGAACAGCAAATCTGAAAATGTATAACGTGCATGACCTTGTATACGCATCTTAGCCGGTGGTATTAGACCGCTCAACCTAAAAGTGTATGCATACCATGTGATATAATAAAACGAATTATTCCACTTTTACATTGATGTTATTTGTGATTGTATCACCCCGGGTGAAAGTTCCACAGACCCAGGTGTGAGATATCGGTGCGTCTCATGCACACTTGCAAGCATTTTGGTTGACGCTGTGAGACTGTCCCACACTTGGATTTGCTGTGCAGCACTCTTACCGAAGAATTTCCCAGGAAGAAAATGGCGCAAGCATAATACGAAGGTGGTTTTCCTACGTATTACGAAGGCTGCCCATTGAATCTTGCAATAAAAATGTTAAAAGATTCTTGTTATGAAGAAATATTGCTTCGCATTATGCTTGCGCCTAATTCCCTGTAAGCCCAGACTTATTGTAAGACATTTAGAGTGCAGTAGAGGACACACTCCAACACGTTGCCGATCAGAGCGGCACACAGTGGGCCAGAAGACCGATAGAGGCGGCCAAAACTATAGACGGGGTTTGAGCTCCAGAGTCGCTAAATGGCTCTCGAACCGAGCGTGTGACCCCACCAATGGATTCCTCGTTCAAAGAGCAATCCATTGGTGGGGTCACACGTTGAGTTCGAGTCCTGTTTAGCGACTCTGAAGCTCAAAACGTGTCTGTAGTTTTGGCCGCCGACGCCGGTCTTCTGGTCCACTGTGCGGCAACCTCTTCACACTTTTTTCTGTCAAGTCGATCAAATGAATCAGTATTCTGCCGTGGCTTTCCGACGCGCTTCAGGGAGATGCTGGTCCTCCTTATCGACACGGTGGTCAGGTGCACTATCAGGCTGCTATCGCCGGGCACGGCCAGTCCGTCTCGAAGCGCGCGCCCGGCAACACCGCCAGCAACATGTGGCACCTCGTGCTGTGCGCCATCGTGTGCGTCCTCATCTTCGCCAAGAACCCGCCGCCCATCTTCGGCTGGTACCAGCAGCCCGGTCCACGCTTCTGGCCCAAGTACCTGCTGTTCAGGGCGCTGCTCCAGCTCCGCAAGGTGAGTGTCCCGGGTTCGAATCCCGCGGTCGGAACTCCGTCGCGGATAACATTTCGTTTCTTTTTTTTTTTTTGTTCATCTTCGCACACTCTCAGAACTCTCACAACTCGTTCATCATGCAAAAACTTTTTTTGTTCCACCTTTTCACCGTGACAAAATATTTAATATTGTTGATGCAAACGTATGAGACAAATACTCTGGAATCAATGTTTCTTTTTCTTCGAAAAATGAAAGCAAATAAAAACCTTTTCTCTGGGTGTAGCAGGCCCCATTAAACGAATGAAATGAATCGGAGCTAAATTAATGTAGCCGTGAAAGCCATAGCCGCTTCAATGTCGGGAATGATATTTGTCGGCGATAAGTCAGTGAAGCACGGGGACCGGTGATAAATTAATAATTACTGGAATGACAGGGTTGGGGCACCTGTCGCGTTGCATGATGTGTCGACCTCTGCACAGTGGGCCAGAAGACCGGTGGAGGCGGCCAAAAATTCTAGACGCGTTTTGAGCCCCAGAGTCGCTAAATGGGACTCGAACCGAACGTGTGACCCCACCAATGGATTGCTCTCCGAACGAGAAATCCATTGGTGGGGTCACACGTTCGCTGCAAGTCCTGTTCAGCGACTCTGGAGCTCAAAACGCGTCCAGAGTTTTGGCCGCCTCCACCGGTCTTCTGGCCCACTGTGCCCTGATAGGCGCTCAGGTGTGTGGGAATCAGTGCACTTGAGACGGGCAAGCCGAGCGATAACCGCGCTTGACTACCGAACTACTCCTTTTTTCACTGACCCTGGCACCGACACTGGCTGCGGTCGTCAGCGGAAACGGATCAAAGTGCGGGCAGTCGATGCCAGGGCGCCCAAACGGCCAGCACACTGCCAGGCCGGCGAAAAGATCCGCCGCCCCCTGGCGGCCCTGGCGGCCCTGACTGCAGAGGGCGGCCTATTTAAAACGGCCCTGCAGACTGAGAGTCGTTTCCGTCGCGCTGTCTCTCTCGCACCTATAAGGGACGCCCTGTGAGTGCAAGAGAGGCAGAGCGACGAAAACGAGTCTCGGGATGAGTCTGCCGAAGGCCCGCCTAGGCCCCAGGGCTCGGTTTCACCTTCTTTGATTCCGTCCTCGGGGGGCCCGGCTGGGGGCTCGGCCGGTGAGGGAGTGGCCCCACGGCCTCCGCGCCGCGTCTCTGGTTCGGCGCTTTGCCTCTCTCGTTCTCATGGCGATTCCGATGCCCCAGCACGCTGATTCCGGAAGTCACTCCCTCTCTCTCGCATCTATGCGGGCCGCCCCGTGAGTGCGAGAGAGACAGAGCCACAGCAACGACTCTCGGAATCAGTCTGCGGGTCGAAGAGGGCGCAGATAGCTGCACTGTAAAAAAAATTCTGAAATTTCAGTACAATTTGTTCAGACTTTGCAGTCTGAATCGGTAATTCAGAAAGTTGCTTTGAATTTTCAGACTAGGAACTCTGAAATTTGAGATCACACCGGTTAGTCTGAATTTTAAGCAGAAGGTCTGAAAATTCTGATTAAGTTTTCAGACTTGTCATCCTGAAACCTGTTTTCATAATTTTGGTATGAAAATTTTGACAGATTGTCTACTAATCAAGTATAGGCGTAAGGCGTTGTATAAATTTATCGGAAATAATAATGTACACCCGCGCTTCACGCTGATTCGTCTGTGTACGGTAGATTAACCGTAAGAGTTGTCCGAACTTGCATTCTGGACTTGCCGAAAGGAGCTGGTATCCTCTGAAGAGAGTCACGCGGCACGGCTTCCCCCGCCGCCAGGCAGCGCCCGTAGCGCAGTGGTACCGAGCTCGTCTCGTCACCAAAAAGTCCCGGTTCGAACCCGGGCCGAAGCGAACAAGTGTAAAGTGGAAAGAAGGTACCGTCACACGTTGGTGGTTCAAATTGTTCTCTTGTTGATTTCTCTCTCTCTCTTTGATTTATTGATGGCACTTTTATTTAATATTTCAGAGTAGCAGTCTGAAAATGTTTTTCAGACAAGTAGTCTGAATTTGGAATTCAGACAGAATGGTCTGAATAATTACTCTGAATTTTCAGACCACTAGTCTGTTTAAAAACTTCAGACTAAAATTATGAAATTTCAGTAATACTTTTTTTACAGTGTGTAAATGAGAGAAAGGAGAGGGGGCGCGCAGTGGGCCAAAAGGCCGGTGCGGCGGCCAAAACTCTAGACGCGATTTTTAGCTCCAGAGTCGCTAAAATGGGACTCGAACAGAGCGTGTGACCACACCAATGGATGGCTCTCCGAACGAGGAATCCATTGATGGGGTCACACGTTCGGTTCGAGTCCTGTTTAGCGACTCTGCAGCTCAAATCGCGTCTTGAGTTTCGGCCGCCTCCACCGACCTTCTGGCCCACTGTGGGGCGGCGCCCGTCGGCTTGTCTTCACGTGCTGTCTAATAAAAGCGTTCCACGCGACGTCTGTCTCTCTTGCACTCAAGGGGCGTCCCGAAGGGGTGCGAGAGAGACGCCGCTCTAGGACTGTCTTCCGCCCCCAACACACCACCGCACAGTGGACCAGAAGACCCGAGAAGACCGGTGGAGGCGGCGAAAATTCTAGACGCGTTTTGAGCTCCAGAGTCGCTAAATAGGACTCGAACCGAACGTGTGACCCCACCAACGGATTCCTCGTCCGGAGAGCAATCCATTGGTGGGGTCACACGTTCGGTTCGAGACCCATTTAGCGACTCTGGAGCTAAAAACGCGTCTAGAATTTTGGCCGCCTCCACCGGTCTTCTGGCCCACTGTGCACCGAGGCCCGAAGCGACCCGACCCAGGCACCTTCCAGTGGAGGTTAGGGGTCGCAGGGTCGCACACCGGAGGGGAGGGGGAGGGGTCTTGTCCTTGGAACAGTGCTGCGCTCCAACCGCCCGGCCGATACTGATCAGTGTGTACAGTGTGTGTGACGGTCTGACGCTCGTCCCCAGCGCTTTGACAGCGGCATGTTGCGATAGGTTTCCCCTCTCTGCCCCCCCCCCCCCTTTTTCCCCGCCCTCGCCGTGCCCGTCTCACTTTATGGTGCCGCTATCCGAGTAAAAGCTTTTTCATTAATTCATTTCCCGATTGTTTTTGTTGCTTTGCAGCTCCGGTCGAAGCCGCAGCTGGACAAGGATGGCCTGCCAGTGCACCCGCTCGCCGACAAGGAGTGCACGCAGAAGCTCAGCCAGCATCCCCTGGTAAGCGTGCACCTCGAAGCGCCGCTTCGTCGCTCTGTCTCTGTCGCACTCACAGGGCGACCCGAGTCGGTGCGAGCCCCGAGACCGACCCGAGACGCGTTTTGAGCTCCAGAGTCGCTATACACGACTCGAACTGAACGTGTGACCCCACCAACGGATTCCTCGTTCGGAGAGCAGTCCATTGGTGGGGTCATACTTTCGGTTCGAGTCCCACTAGCGACTCTGGAGCTCGAAAAGCGTCTAGAGTTTTGGCCGCCTCGACCGGTCTTCTGGCCCACTGTGTGGGAGGTGTGAGAGAGACAGACCGACGGGTCCTTCCCTTCGGAATCGGCCTGCAGCCCGCACCCCCTGGCAAGCGTGCTTCTCAGAATCCCGAAGCATCGTCGCTCTGTCTCTGTCGCACTCATGGGCGTCCGGAGTGAGTGCGAGAGAGACAGAGCGACTCTTCGGAATCGCACGGCTTCCGTCAGCGCGTTGCCAGGTCCAAAAAACAAAAAAAGTTCCGCCAAGGCAAGCTTAGCAAAGCGGTCTTGCCGTGGACCGGCCGGGGAGGCCGGGCAGAGAGGGGGCAAGAAGGGTGGGGGTGGCTGTGAGGAGTGGGGACTGGCGCGGCGAGGCGGCGCGGCGTGGCGGCGCAGGACGACGACAGACGACGACGACCAACACGACCATGCAGTCCCCTCCGAGCCCGAGCGCGCTGAATGGATGGATGGGTGGATGGCATGGGATGAGTGGGATCAGATGCAGAGCTAGAAGCGGTAGCAAGACCGCTTAAAAAACGCCCTCTCACTTTGGCTTTGTTCAGGCTTTCGATGCGGTGTTTTTCATCGCCGTTAACATGGAGGGCATCTACGTGATCGTGGGGAGCGAGCGCAGACACAAGGACATCGTCAACGGCCTGGTCTACGTCATGGTGAGTGGGACCGAGACCCTCTTGAATTTTTCGTAACAGGGGACCCTCCGTGCACGCCACAGAGCCGCAGCGCCACAGCGTGTGTGCTGTCTGTGCCACAATCCCGCCCGGTTCGGCCTGTGGTGATGTTTCGTTGTGGCCTGAGGGACAGCACAGGCGGCGAGGCCCCTGTGGACTGATTCCGAGAGTCGTTTTCGTCGCTCCGTCTCTGTCGCACCTGTACGGGACGCCCCTTGAGTGCGAGAGAGACAGAGCGACGTGTCTCGGAATGAGTCTGCTGCGTCTCTCACTCCACCAAGCTGGCGCAGGCTGGCCTCCACCGCCAACGGGACTCTCAAAACAGTCCTCACAAAGCCTCGGCCGGTTGCGCGGAAAGCGCCATTCTGCCGAGCGAGCCATGGAAGAGTCGGTGCGCCGATCTGTCTCTGTCGCACTCATAGCGCTGCCCGTAGGGTGCGAAAGAGACGGGGGTGGCAAGCCGAATTGAACTCGAATCGAATCTAACAAAATAGTTTCGAATTCGAATCTAATCTGAAATAAAAATTGTCGAATCGAATTGAACTTTAAAAATTCAGAATCAAATCGAATTCGAACTGAAACTTAAAGAAAAAATATTAGTGCGTTTCAAGACACATTTTCTGTAGTAAAGGAAGGGCATAGAACAGGAGTACTTCTGCTCTATGCCCGTCCTTTATTACAGAAAATGTGTTTTGAAACGCTATGCGCGCGACTTTCAACCGTTTCCGAGCAACTGATTCGAAGACGAACCACCGTCGATTAAAAATTTCGAATATTCGGGGTCGAAGGAAAGACATTCGTCCCCAAATCCAATCGAATTGCCCCTGATTTGATTCGATTCGATTCGATACTGCTGTGGCACATCCCTATCCCCTTCCAGATGCCAGGCATCGGGCTGCTGCGCTCCAAGAAGCTGCCGGACACGGTGCTGTTCGGCGCGCAGGAAGGCAAGTTCGGCGCCGAGGGCATCCGCATCGAGCCGGTGGAGGCGCTCAAGAAGTGGCGGGTGGACTTCGAGGGCGTCATGCAGTGAGTACACTTCTCCAAGAGCGATGATGGACTCATTTCTAAGGCGACACAATTTTAATTGCGTTATTAGCGCCCGAGGGGGTATGCACTCTCGAAACATGCGACCCTACCACTACGCTATTCATTGCTATTGATTGATTTCAAATTAATCGAAACTTAGCTAAAAACACGCCAAAAATATTAAAAAATTGGAGAATTCCGGCTATTGGCACGGAGCGCGGCGTGGCGAGCGCCCAACCACGGCCGGATAGGCAACCCAACGCACGCTGGTGTCGCCCACCGCAGCCGGCTGCCTACCCTCCATTACCATTACCATTACGGGCTAGACCACACCATATGCCGTTTCGGGCCCGCCCGCCCGCACTGCAAAACGAGACATGGCAGCACTTTCGACACTGGTGCATTGTGGGAAGTTTTTGACTGGCGGCGACACTGCTTTAATTCGAGTCGAGCTGAAAACGTGTCCCGAGCGTGTCCGAGGCGCTATAGTCCGGCCTCTGCGCACCGGCCGCCCAGCCGCGCCTCCGCGACGCGTAAACCAGCCATATTTATGGCCGCGGGATTTTCTCGCCGCGGAGCGAGGAGCCGTCTCCGCGGGGGAAGCCAGCCAACCGCTCTCGGGCTGTATGATTCGGATTCGGACACAAATCTTCATCGTCCAAGCTTAACCTCGAGCGGGGGGCGTCGCGCGGCCGAACGGAACGGTAAAGAACGATGACGGGGTGCTTGTCCAGCCGCAGCATCCCGCCTCTCTCTCTCTCTCTCTCTCTCTCTCTCTCTCTCTCTCTCTCTCTCTCTCTCTCTCTCTCTCTCTCTCTCTCTCTCTCTCTCTCTCTCTCTCTCTCTGTGGGGGGTAAGACCTCGTGAATCCTTCCCTTCCGGCGGTGATAATCCCAGGGACCAATCAGTGGAGGGTCGCCCAGGGGCCAGCACTGAGCGACCCACGCGGGGGAGGGGAGGGGAGGAGGGGGACAACTGCATGTCGCCCGGAAGCCGGCCCCAAGGCCTGACCGGCCCGGCCACCACTGCAGAGGAAGTTCCAGCTTACTGTACTGAATTTGATTGGACGCTGGCCGGAAGAACGCAGGAAGAATGGCTCGTCGGAACCGGAAAACGGAAACAGGGTCTTTGCTTTTTGGCGCGAGCGGCGAAGGCGTTTTTAAAAAAAGAAATCCTCTCGCTCTCTCTGTTTCTCTCCGCTTCTTAACCCTCTCGCCCCTCCGGCAGACAATTTTTGTTTCATTGCTGTTTTGTTTCGTCGCTTTCTTTGTTTTTTTTCACCCTTTTTTCACTGCTTTGTGCTTTTGCAGCCTCAAAGACGACCCCTCCAAGGAGTTCCCCGTCAAGCTTAGCGGTCTCTGGAGCTCCGACTGGCCCGTCTTCAACTTCGACACGGATCTGCACCCACACGCCCTCGCCACCACCATCGCCACTGAGCCCTGGAGCCGGGAGTACTTCACCGCCCTCAAGAAGTACGTACGGGATGCACGGGTCGTGGCAGACCGATTACGCACAGCGTTCCGTCTCTCTCTCTCTCTCTCTCTCTCTCTCTCTCTCTCTCTCTCTCTCTCTCTCTCTCTCTCTCTCTCTCTCTCTCTCTCTCTCTCTCTCTCTCTCTCTCTCTCGCTCTGCCAGGCTCCGCCGCTCCGCGACAAGGCCCGAGCGCATTACGTCTTCAAAGGGCGCGTTCTTATGTATTTTTCATACGCAGCGCGCACCAGACCCACTACGAGCACATGGGCTACCTGAAGGGCACTCTCCAAGTCGGCGGCGAGACGCACAGCCTCAACCTCATGTCGCTCAGGGACCACAGCATCGGTGCGTCAGGCTCATTCCGAGAGTCTCGCTCTGTCTCTCTCGCACCTATACGGGGCGCGCCATGAGTGCGAGAGAGACAGGGCGAGGAAAACGACTCTCAGAATCAGTCTACAGGGCAACCGACTCGTCGCTTTTTCGGCAAGTTAATCAGAACGGGCCCTCGCAGACGATGCGAGCGGAGCGGAGCGGCTGATGCGGTGTCCCCGGTCCATTAGTTGCCATGGTAACCAATCGCGTATGCTCAGCGGGACAAACACTCCCACCTCCACTGAGAGGCAGTGGAAAATAGAAGAAAAGGCGATGGCGAAAGTCACTGAGGCGAGGAGTAACGTCCAGAATGGCCGAGCTAGTTCGTGCTGCAGTGCACAGTGGGCCAGAAGACCGGTGCGGGCGGTGCAAACCCCGAACGCGTTTTGAGCTCCGGAGTCGCTAAATGGGACTCGAACCGAACATGTGACCCCACCAATGGATTGCTCTCCGGACGAGGAATCCATTGGTGGGGTCACACGTTGAGTTTGAGTCCTGTTCAGCCACTCTAGAGCTCAAACCGCGTCTAGAGTTTTGGCCGCCTGCACCGGTCTTCTGGCCCACTGTGCAGTGTAGCACTCCAGCGCGGTCGGGAATTGGCAGTGATGGCGACCATTCGGCCCGTCCGTCAGTACCCTCCGCGCGAGAGACTCTAGGGCTTCGGGGGCGTCTATTAATGACCTCACACTGGCTGCATCCGAAGCGTGTGTCTCTCTTCCTCCCTTTTAGCTCTCGTGGGACGGAGTGAGACAGAGCGACACGATTTGGGCGCAGGATGCGACTAGCGTATCATTGATTGACCCCCTAACCCCGTCAGTGTCTTTGGAGAATGAGTACTGAGGCGGTGCTGTGGCGGCCTTGGCGACTTTGTATGCTTGCTCGTGGAATCTCGCGCGAAGCTGATTTGTCTCTGGATTGGACACAGGCGAGGCGCGGGACTGGGACCTCATGCATCGCTACGCCTTCTTCATGATGTTCCTCGAGGACGGCACCATGGCCGTGGTGGGCATCATCAACCAGCCGTGCACTTGCTCTGTGTAAGTTTGCCCCTTCCAAGAGTAACGAACACACTACAAACCTAACTGTCTACTAAGTACACACTTACAAACGCACGCTTGGCGTTGTACAACTCCATGCTAAGCATTGTAAGTGTGTACTTGTGTACTTGTGTGTACTTGGCCAAGCATGCGTTTTTAAGTGTGTACCTGCAAGCGGGTCTACATCGTTTGTATCGGGTGCATGTATTTGTAAGTGTGTACTAAGTAGAGAGTTAGGTTTGTAGTGCAAGAGTTCTCCAAATAGTCAGATACAATTCCGAAACGCCAAAACAATGGGCGAAAAGGCTGACTGTTTCGAAACAAACCTGTGCAGGATGCAGTCGGGGTACGTGTACACTCCTGAAGGCAAGATCAACCCTCTCGAGTGGTGCGACTTCAAACTGTACCAGCACGGCGAGCAGGGAACCCCGCCCACGGACGCGGCGTTCAGCTTCAAAGCGGGTAAGAACCACAGCAAGAACAGCCTTTAAAAAAATAAAAATCTTCAAGTTTTTTTTAACTAAGCAAAACTGCGCTCTCAGCAGGTTACCGACTTTTTCCTCATTAATTACGTATTCGTATAAGCAACAATAATCCTTAGTATTTTCTTAGTAAGTACGACAAATTTCCTTTGTAAAATTATGTACAAAACCAAATTGTCGGGACATTATTAAATATTTCCTACGTATTATGGTTGGACAAATTACTTGCTTAAGAACTGACAAAATGAGCAAAAAGTCTGTAACGTGCCGAGAGTGTGTGAACTACGTAAAATCGCAACCTGCAGCAATGATCGCATTTTTTTTTTCAAAGATAGCCGGTTATTTTTTTTTAATCAGGTGAAACGGTGTACCGCGTGAAAGCGCACGTGGAGGACTTCGGCGTGCACTACGTGGGCTGGCGCTGGGAGGCGCGCATGGTGGAGCGCTTCATGAGCTACGAGGTGAACGGCGTCCGCGGCCGCGGCGTCTCCGAGTTCCACTACCACAACGATAGCGGCAGGAAGGCCGACACCTCCGGCGACCCCGAGTGGTTCCCCGCGCTGCTCAAGGAGACCTACCGCGACAGGGAGTAGCGGGCACCACGCCACCGCGCCACCGCGAGGCTGGATCCAGGGACGCGAGGGGGTATGCGCTCTCTGAACCTGTGTACCGACTATTACGCTATTACGCTCTATTACGCCACAAATTAATCGGAATTTAGCTAAAAACGGCCTAAAACACACCAAAATTGATAAAATTTTGACAATTTCGGCTATTACGCGACTATTACGCGTATTATTACGCGTGCTATTACAGATAGAGTGTACCGACTATTACGCGAGTGCGTACCCCCTCGCAGGGACGGGTTCAGGGGCGGGCGCACAGTGGACCAGCCAAAACTCTAGACGCGTTTCGAGCTCCAGAGTCGCTAAACAGGACTCGAACTCAACGAGTGATCCTACCAATGGATTGCTCTTCGAACGAGGAATCCATTGGTGGGGTCACACGTTCGGTTCGAGACCCATTTAGCGACTCTGGAGCTCAAACCCCGTCTAGAGTTTTGGCCGCCTCCATCGGTCTTCTGGCCCACTGCGGGGGTCTCGCAAAAGTTGCCTTCCTGCAGGGGCACAGTGCGTCTTGTTGCCACCTCTCAGCCTTCAGGGACACACACACACACACACACACACACACACACACACACACACACACACACACACACACACACACACACACACACACACACACACACACACACTGGATCCGCGCCTGCGTCACCGACAAATATTGCCACGAGGCACGCCGCGCAAACCAACGACTGTGATACGAGAAATGAATGAATAAATTGGCTGATTGAAAACACGGCTTGTCTGGCACCTGTCGCCCCGCGCCGCGCACGAGGCCGCTAAGCAGAGCCCCAGAGCCCCGCCAATTAGCGCCATCAGCTAGGCCACCTGTTTCCGTTCCGCCCCTGGCTCTGTCTCCCTCGCGCACCTAGAGTTGCCACGCACAGGCTAGACTTACCGCGACGAAAGGGTTGCCAACTTCATCCAGCGCGCCAGGCGACCGAGCTCCGCTATCTCAAGAAGTTGTCGACGCCTTTTCGACGCGGGGGGGGGGGGACAGAGAGAGTGAGAGTGTAAGAGTGTGAGAGTGTGTGTGACAGAGAAAGAGAGAGAGTGAGAGAGAGAGCGCTGCTTGCAGACTGATTCCGACAGTTGTGATCGTCTCTCTGTCTCTCTCGCACTCATGGGGCGTCCCTTAAAGGTGCGAGAGAGACAGAGCGACGAAAACGGCCCTCGGAATCAGTGTGCCGGCGGCTCGCCACGTTCCGTCACGTTCGTCACGTGCGTGACTGGGCAGCCGCCCAAGCGTGCCGCCGTGACGCCGCCGCCGCCTGGCAGGTAGTCCACTGGTAGTCCATTCCAGGCTTGGCAGGCTTCCGGGCGCGCACTCAACGAGGTGCCGCATGCCGACGGCAGCCGACGGCCACTTCAGTTCGGCCGGACGGGACACGTGAGGACTGGTCAAGTCAAAGGCACTCGGGCCTTCCCTTCCCTTCCCTTCCCAGCAGGCTGATTCCGAGAGTCGTTTTCGTCGCTCCGTCTCTCTCGCACTCATGGGGCGTGCCGAATAGGTGCGAGAGAGACGGAGCGACAAAAACGACTCTCGGAATCTGCCTGCTGGGCACCACGGGGACCACGGGGCACGGTGCCGGCACCCCGCAGAGGCATGCGCCCCCACGCCCCACTGCCGGTCCCTGGGTCCCCCTGGCGACGGACGGACCGAACCCTGTTGCCGGCGAGTACAGCGGACGGACGGACGGTCAGACAGACAGACAGACTGAGCCGCGTCCCACGAGTCCCAACGCCCCCCGCCCCGCCCCGCCGCTGCCGCCGGCCCGCCGGTCCGGCCGAGTAGCCGAGTGCCACGGAACAACGGAGTGCTGCGTCCGTGTCCGTGCCGTCCCACCGTCCCGTCGGAGCGCGGAGCGGAGTGGAGTGGAGTGTCAGGCCGGGCCGGAGACTCAAGTTGCCGCTGCCGGTTCGCCTCTGCGCTGCTTGGCGCTGCCGCTGCATTCCGAGGCCGCGCCGCGCGGGGAGAGCACCGCGACGACCGCGAGCCGCGAGCACCGCGACAAGGGACAGGGCCAGAGACAGGAACAGGAAGACAGGAGGGCAGGGCGCCGATTCTCCGCATTGCCGCATTGTGCCGCGTGCCTGTCACGGCTCTGCAGCTCTGCACGGCACGCCGCGCCGCCTGCCAGGCCTGCCAGGTCACACTCCCGCCCAACTTGGAGGCGCCGTCAGCCGCAGAGATAGTCATCTCCGTCAGGACCCTGTTGACGTCGAGCGGAGCGCCATGCCGTGCCCAGGTCAGTGCGGCGGAGCACAGTGGGCCAGAAGACCGGCGCAGGCGGCCTAAACTCTAGACACGTTTTGAGCTCCAGAGTCGCTAAGCAGGGCCAGAACCGAACGTGTGACCCCACCAAAATGGACTCCTCGTTGGGAGAGCAATCCATTGGTGGGGTCATACGTTCGGTTCGAGTCATATTTAGCGACTCTGGTGCTCATAACGCGTCCGGGACTTGGACCGCCTCCACTGGTCTTCTGGCCCACTATGCGGAGGGTCGGCAACCCTCCGTGCCCGTCAAGGGAAGTGACAGTGTGTGAACTTAACACTCACTCTCTTTCTTTGCCTTGCAGGTAAAAGCTGTGGGGGCGGCCCCGGATACAAGACCCCACTGGATGCTATGAAGAATGGACCCAGGGAGAAAATCCTGTATGTGCCATGCATCCAGCCAGAAGGTGACAAAGCGACCAAGCCAGACTATTTAGCTACAGTTGATGTCGACCCAGAGAGCCCTACTTTCTGCCAGGCAAGTAAACTTGTCGTTTGCTATGGAATAACTTTGCTCAGCCTTCTTTCTACGGAACTTGTTTTTAGTTTTTCAAGTTTGTATTTTGTAGGTGATTCATCGTCTACCCATGCCGTATAGCGGAGACGAACTTCACCACTCTGGCTGGAACGTGTGCTCCTCATGCCATGGTGATCCTGATCTGAAAAGAGACCATCTCGTTCTTCCCGGTTTCATCAGTAATCGAGTATATTTTGTTGATGTTTCAAACCCCAGTGCTCCAAAACATGATATGGTATGTAGAAAAAGCCAATTTAACCAAATAAATTTATTTCTTTAAAATTCTGTTATGAGTGCACTTTTAACATCGTTCACTCTCTGTTAGATTGTGGAACCTGAAGAAATGCTGAAGCTGGGTGTGAGCACTCCACATACTGCCCACTGCCTGTCTACAGGGCAGGTCATGATCTCAACACTGGGAGATGGAAAAGGGAATGGAAAAGGGGAATTTGTCCTCATTGATGCAAAGACTGCCAAAGTTACTGGCTTATGGACCAAAGGCCCTCAAGCAAAATTTGGATATGACTTCTGGTATCAGCCATACTTTGACGTCATGATAGCTAGCGAATGGGGTGCTCCTCGTGGTTTTGTAAATGGTTACGAAACTGAATATGTTTTCAACAAGGGTAAGTTGTTACAGCACCAATGTTTTAAAATCAGAATTTGCTATAATATTTGCATGACACATAATTTTTATGGTTTTTCCCAGAAAATTTGTATTTTCCTTGTTTTAAATATTTTTTCAGAAACTTATGGTCAGTCTTTAAATGTGTACTCATGGTCAGAACAACGTTTGCTTCAAACAATTGACTTGGGAGAGGAAGGCATTGCTCCACTTGAGTTGCGATTCCTTCACAATCCTCGTAAGCCAATTGCTTTCGTTGGATGTGCAGTATTTGCCAACATTTTCCGGTATACAAAACCTCTGTACTATAACTTAAACATCTGCTTCAATTTGATAATCAATGTCACATTTTATTATTAACTTTCAGAGTTACCCGTAAGGAAGACGGAACTTGGTTTGCTGAAAAGGCAATTGATGTTCCAGAAAAGAAGGTTGAAGGATGGGTTTTACCAGAAATACAAGGTAACTGACCTTCTGACATGAACATTTTTCTGAAAATCTATTTGCTAATCCATCTTAAATATTTTGTGTGTAGGGTCAGTAACCGACATCTTGATCTCTTTGGACGACCGATTCCTATACTTCAGCAACTTCCTCCATGGTGATGTTCGTCAGTATGACATTTCTGACCCTTTCAATCCTCGCCTGACTGGTCAAGTATTTTTGGGTGGAAGTGTTTGTAAGGGTGGACCCGTCAAAGTGGTAGAGGATAAAGAACTCAAGGTAATCACACTTTACTTCTAACCACACGTAAATAGTTAAAAATAAAAAAATAAATAAAAGAAAAATATTTTTCTTTTGTTTGTTTTTGCTGTAGGAGCAACCTGAGAGGCCTGTTGTCAAGGGAAGGACCCTCCACGGGTCCCCACAGATGCTGCAGCTGAGTTTGGATGGAAAGCGGCTGTACGTGAGCAGCGCGCTCTTCTCCCCCTGGGACCGCCAGTTCTACCCCGACCACGTCAAGTAAGTCATTGTGCAGTGCGCGGAGTCTCTCCTCTCCAGGCGCGGGGTATCTCCGGCAGGGCATGGGCGCGGGGTATCGCCCTCGAGGGTCTGGACGGTCGGAGTGAGTGTTCCACCGCGGTTGCTTTTACAGGCATGGGTCCTTCATCGTCCAGCTGGACGTCGACGTCGAAAACGGGGGCATGAAAGTCAACCACGACTTCTTGGTGGACTTCGGCAAGGAGCCGGAGGGTCCAGTGCTCGCGCACGAGATGAGGTAGGTCATTCTAGCGTTTCTCTAATTTTACAATTATTATTTGTTTACTCTTTAAATTTAAATTTGAAATTACTAATTAACTGTCGATGCGTTTCAGGTATCCTGGCGGCGATTGTACTTCAGACATCTGGCTGGACAGTGGAGACAAAGAGTGACGGACCTTCAAGGGAATGGCCCATGTTCTACCACTGGCACTCATCAGACATCTTTTATATAAAATTTCCTATGCTTTTATCTTTTAATTCTGTTTGATTTGCCCACATTCTCGCCCAACTCCCCTATTTGTGAGGGAAACGAGAGTCCCCCGCGAGGGTATTGACTGTAGATAAGATACGGGGAGGTTGCAAACAAAGAATGACACAGAAGCTTACAAAAAAAAGAAAGTCGTTTTATTTTTGGCAGTTGTCAAGGTCTCAAACTCTCCGCCCGAAACACGGTTATCTGCGCGGGCGGGGTGTCATCAGTGTTGCGACGTAAGAAGGCGAAAATTCCCTCGATGCGCTGGTGTCGAAAGGGTTGCCAACTTTAGCCTGCTTACTGGTCAACTTCTCCACAGCAAAGCTCAGATTGCCGAGGCTGAGGTTGGCAGCCCTTCTGACTCTGTCGAATGGTGGGGAATTTTGTCCACTGATGCGGCAACACTGCGTGTCATGGATGTGCTTGGGATGGAGGGAAGGCCCAGGGTGCAGGGCAGTGGATGGCAGTGCAGGCCCCGGTGCTACTCGAACTTGATGCCCTGGGCGAGCGGCAGCTCCTTGCTGTAGTTGATGGTGATGGTGGCCCGCCGCATGTACTGCTTCCACGAGTCCGAGCCCGACTCCCTGCCGCCGCCGGTGTGCTTCTCGCCGCCGAACGCGCCGCCGATCTCCGCGCCGTTGGTGGGGATGTTGACGTTGATGATGCCGCAGTCCGAGCCTTTGGGGCCGATCCACTGTTGGCGGAGGTATTTCAATGTCAGATTCAACCCCAAAACGCATCCTCCCCACAGCGGGCGCGGCCAAAAGTCTACACGTGTTTCGAGCTCCAGATTCGCTAAATGGTACTCGAACCAAGCGTGTGACCCCACCAATGGATTCCTCGTTCGGAGAGCAATGCATCGGTGGGCTCACACGTACGATTCGAGTTCCATTAAGCGACGCTGGAGCTCAAAACGCGTCCAGAGTTGTGGCCGCCTGCAGCGGTCTTATGGCCCACTGTGCGGTGGAGGCGGCCAAAGTCCTGGACGGGTTTTGATGGGCGAGTGGACTCACGTTGAAGATGGTGCCGAGGTCCTTGGTGAAGATGCTGGAGGACAAGCCCTGCTTGACGGAGTTGTTCCACTGCACGGCCTGCTCCACGCTGTCGCACTTGAGCAGGTACACGATGGGCGCGAACGTCTCCTTCTGCACCACGGCGCTGTCGTGGGCCAGGCCCGTCACGATGGTGGGCTCGACGAAGAAGCCCTCGTGGTCCACCACCTGGAGAGTCGCAACGGTGAGGTCGCGGTTCGAGTCCCGCTCAGTGGGCCAGAAGACCGTTGGGAATGGCCAAACTTCCAGACGCGTTTTGAGCTCCAGAGTCGCCGAATGGGACTCGAGCCGAACGTGTGACCCCACCAATGGATTGCTCTCCGGACGAGGAATCCATTGATGGGGTCACACGCTCGGTTCAAGTCCTGTTTAGCTGCTCTGGAGTTCAAAAAGCGTCTAGGATTTTGGCCGCCTCCACCGGTCTTCTGGCCCACTGTGTCTCGGTGAGGAACTATGTTCACGTTTTCAAGAAACGACCCGGGCGATACTGCCCGTCCACTCGCACGGTGCGCACCTTGCCGCCGAACTCGATCTTGCCGCCCTGCTTGACGGCCTCGGCGATGGTCTGCTTGTAGTTGTCGACGGCCTGAGCGTTGTGCAGGGGGCCGTACAGGGTGGTGTCGTTCAGGGGGTCACCCAGGCGACCCATAACCGTGCCGTAGGACTTCTTGAGCCGCTCGAGCACAGTGTCGTAGACCTACGAACCAGGAAATTAACGTTAGCCTCGCGAAAGTGGCGCTCAGTGGGCCAGAAGACCCGCGCAGACTGCCAAAACTCTAGACTGGGGCTAGTGGAGGTCAGGCTCCAGAGTCGCTAACGAGACTCGAACCGAGTGTGTGAGCCCACCAATGAATTCCTTACTAGGCGAGTAATCCATTGGTGGGGTCACACGTTCGGTTCGAGTCCCATCCAGCTACTCTGGAGCTGAAAACGCGTCTAGCGTTTTGGCCGCCTGCGCCGGTCTTCTGGCCAACTGTGTGGCGACCACACTGGTGGCAATGCGCGGACTCACCGACTTGTGCAGGATGAGGCGTCGCGTGGTGGTGCAGCGCTGGCCGGCCGTGCCGCAGCACGCGAACACCACGGACTGCATGACCATGTCCAGGTCGGCGTCGGGGGCCACGATGATGGCGTTGTTGCCGCCCAGCTCCAGGATGCTGCGGCCGAAGCGGGACTGCACGGTCACGCCGACCTTGGGGAGTGAAATCCATGGCGGTGAGTCGAAAAGCAAAGGCAGCGGGATTTGAACCCGAGTCCAGGGCCCATGCCGCGCACAGTGGGCTAGAAGAACGGCGCCGCCGGCCAATACTCTAGATGCGTTTTGAGCTCTAGAGTCGCTGAACAGGTCTCGAGCCAAGCGTGTTACTCCACCAATGGATTCCTCGTTTGGAGGGCATTCCTTTGATGGGGTCACACGTTCGGTTCGAGCCCCATTTAGCGACTCTGGAGCTCAAAACGCGTCCGGGATTTCGACCGCCTCCGTCCACAGCGCCGCGCCTACCTGCTGTCCGACAGCCGTGCTCCCGGTGAAGGACACGACGGGCACGCGCTCGTCCTCGGCCATGGCCTTGCCGACGTCGGCGCCGCCCTGGGCGAGGCTGCAGATGGCGGCCGGGATGCCGTTGCGCTCCAGGACCTCGGCGACGACCTTGGTGGTGGCCACGGACACGAGGGGCGTCGTCGGCGCGCCCTTCCACACCACGGCGTCGCCGCACACCATGGCTATGGCGGCGTTCCAGCCGTACACGGCGATGGGGAAGTTGAAGGCGGAGATGACGCCCACCACGCCGACGGGGTTCCAGCGCTCCAGCAGCACGTGGCCGGGCCTCTCCGACGGGATGACGGCGCCGTTGAGGGTGCGCGACAGCCCCACGGCGTAGTCGCAGATGTCCACGTACTCCTGCACCTCACCGACGCCCTCGGGGAGGATCTTACCTGCGAAGCAGCCGACATTGATCAACGCACGGCGCAGACATCTTAAGCCTCATTCTCAGCTCGACCTGCTTGTTCTCGTTGGGGAACCTCGATGGGAACCCACTGGCGACTCACCCATCTCGAGGGACACGAGCTTGCCCAGGGGTAGCAGCTTGGCGCGCAGGGCATCGCCGATCTGGCGGACGATCTCCCCCCTGCGGGGGGCCGGCAGCTCGGCCCAGCCCGCCCAGGCCTTCTGGGCCTCGGCCACGCACGTGTTGTAGTCCGCCACGCTGGCCTGCCGCACGTCCGCGATGGGGCGCCCGTTGGCGGGGCAGAACGACGTGGTGGTCTGCAACCGCGCCGCTCAACGCTCAGCACGCTGATTCCGAGCACCGCTCTCGTCGCTCTGTCTCTCTCGCACTCACGGGGCGTCCCTCAAGGGTGCGAGAGAGACAGCTACAGAAGCAGTGCTCGGAATAGGGTATTCCATACACCGACTTCTTTCTGACTGGGAGCGCCTGCTAGGTAGGCAACGCGTTTCGCTTCGCGACACCGGAGTGTTGCGGTGTTGCCTATGCTCGATTCGCAGGCGCTTACAGGGTACTTGTTCACTTTATTCTTTTTTCGCGGACGTTTGGCGAAAATTGAACGGCCGTTCGGCGGCCGTGGGCGTCAAAACAAGAGCCGGTCTGCGGAGCGATGCAGAAGATTGGTTCATCTCTCTGTCTCTCTCGCACCCGTACGGAGAGCCCCGTGAGTGCGACAGAGACAGAGCGAGACGCGTGACGTCGCGCGCCGATAGCGGCGGAGCGGCGGCCAACTTTTATTATTTTCGTTGTGACCCACGCCGGTTGCTACGTCGGCCGCGAGGGGCCGGCCCGAGGCCGGGGCCAGTACGTACCTCGCCGGTGGCCTTCCACTTGCCGTAGTACACGCCGCAGTTCTCCCTCTGCAGGCCCAGCTCCTTGAGGAAGGCGTACTTGGGGTCGTCCACCAGGTAGCCGCCCTGGGAGGCCATGGTCCTGGCGCTGCCGGCGGAGGCGGCCATCCTCAGGCGGGCTTGCAGTCTGAGGACGGGACTACGACACAGGGAGACGGCCATGCGTTCCGCGCTGGCGGAGCTCCGACCCGAGTCAAGTGGCCGGGGAGAGTGCGGCCGATGCCGGTGCCGGCAAGTGGTCTGATGCGGCGATAAGAAGTCCCCTCGGAAGAAAAGGGGGGGGGGCTACAGTGGGCCAGAAGGCCGGTGGAGGCGGCCAAAACTCTAGACGCGTTTTGAGCTCCGGAGTCGCTAAACAGGAGTCGAATCGAACGTGTGACCCCACCAATGGATTCCTCGTTCGAAGAGCAATCCATTGGTGGGGTCACGCGGTCGGTTTGAGTCCTGCTTAGCGACTCTGGAGCTCAAAACGCGTCTAGGGTTTTGGCCGCCTCCACCGGTCTTCTGGCCCACTGTGGGGGGGCTATTCCGAAATGGAATTGATGAGAGGGACGAGGATGGAGCGTGGGGACGCACGACGCTCGGCTGGCCGGTCGGTTTACCCAGTGGAGACGAGGAAAGCAAATGGAGTGTTTACACCGTCTAAGATCAAGGCCTGCCAGTTGCACGGCACATTGGAGTCGCCAGTGAAAATCTGGGTCGTTCAGACGTCGTCCGAATTTGGAACCATTTTGACTCGCGTTTTTCTTGAGTATTTTCGTTGCACGTACCGAGAAGGACCAGATCTCTGCATGCTTCGTCCGAGGTCCGGCACTCGTCCGAATATCGCTGAGTCTTCACTCTGGGTTGAGTTTAAAACGGTGCGCGCTTTTGGGGATCCCCCACCTCAACTCCGGAGCTGCCAACATTGCATTCAAAAATAACAAGCCGCACGAACAGCGGCACAAAAGGAAATGTTATAACGGTGTGTCTCGAGAGAAATATGCCTTAAATACTTCATTGTCGAACAGCTTTGTGAATCATGGCTCATTTCGAGCATTTCGAGTCCCTATGATTCTGTTTTTCTCCAGGCTGTTGGAGTTGGCTGCCCTTCTGCAGATGAAGCAGACGACACACACACACATCACAACAGCTGCGCGCGTCGGCGTTGGCAGCAGGTGGTTCATTTAGGCCCATTTTATTGCGTCGGTTCTTTAATTGAACTCTTATTTTAACATTTTATCAGTGAAGAATTGTGTAGGATCGGTTTCATTTACGCGACCGACATTGTGACCAAGTGTTCGGCTTCACACCGCGCGGCTTTTGGTGTGTCAATGAACTGACACATTTTTGACAGCAACAAAATTACCCGTTGCCTTCGGTATTTAAGTGCTTTGATGTGGTTTCCAGAGGACTCACTGGCCATTTCGTCCTAATTTTTGACCCAGTGTTTTTGTTTTGCAGGTTTGATGCCAGTAGAAAATAGGCGTCTGTCGTAGATACTCTTCTTTAAAAATGATTGGCGTGCCATCTGTTGTTGTGTTTTCCTTAGTCATTAATGTAGTGGTTGCCACTCGAAGTTATTATAAAACAAACTCCATGTCCCTCAGTGAACTGCTCAACAGGAACCCGTAAGTTTTTGATCCTACATATGTTACATGTTGTTTCATTAGTTTTTCTTGACATTGCCGTTGGTGCTTCTAGACCCAGCTCAACTCCAGAAACTTGGACTGGAAAGTATTTCCCAACACCACCACCTTCACATACACCAGCACCCCCTCCCTTACATGGAGGAGTGCCAATGGGTCTAAACCCTAACTGTGACGATGCCAAGGTAAATTTTGTGGCCATTCAATCTGTTTCCTTATTCATGCACTGTGCAACTATCAATTTGTCTCTTCCTTGCAGACTAATTTAACTGTAGATTGGAATTCATCTCCCATCGTCTACACCTGCTTCTTTCCCAACAAACGAATTATCCCAGACTTTGATATCAAGCCAATTTTGGAAATAGAGCCTGTTCCAAAATTATACTCTGTAAGATCTTTTAAATATTTTAGTTGTGGGATTTTTACCTGTGTTATTAAGTTGTTAATTTATTTCATATTCTGTCTAGGCTGTTCACTACTGCATGAACGAGACTATTGTGTATCAAAACCCTATCCCAACATTGTAAGCATTATTTTAAAAAAGCAAAACGTTATTTCCCTGTTACTTATCATGGCTCTAGTTACAGTTTCTCTGCAACTGTTCCCTTTCTCTGTTTCAGTGGTCCTCATCGACCTGCATGGCCTCGATATGGAGAGTATAAATATGTCCCTGTGCAGCGTTGGCTTCATTCTCTTGAGGTATGATAGTATTCCATGGAAATAAATATGTCAATATCTAGCCTGAAATATATTGACTAAAATTATCAAACTTGCAGCATGGTGGCATTGTCATGCTGTACCACCCTTGTGCACACCCTCTGGAAGTTGCACGTCTGAGGCGGATTGTGAAGTCCTGTTTGTTTCGTCATGTTATTTCTCCCAGCCCACATCTTTCCACTGAAATGGTATTTCATAATTGGCATCATTTTTTTCTATGAAGATTATTGATGTGTATGTTGGTTGTAATTAAATGATTGGTTTCCAGCCTCTAGCTTTGGTGACATGGGGGAAACGATTGACAATGTCAACAGTCAATGTAGATGTTGTTCGAGAATTCATCCTACAAAATGCTCTTCAAGGGCCAGAAAAGATATCAAGAGATGGACAGTATGATGCAGAACTACTGAAAGCAGCAGAGATTGTCAGTGATACCGAGGATACAGATTTATGTCCAGAGGAAAGGATCAAGGCTTTGTCTCTGTATTGGTAGTTACTCTTTATAAACCTTTTTTTCATAGGAACCAAAAACGTTCTGTGCAACCACCATAGCCAGCATCTTTATCTTACAACTTTACAGCAAGCAAAATTTAGGGTGGAAATTGAAAAAGAGCTTCTAATGCAGGCACTGTTAGACTTTTAAAGTAAATAAATATTTGATCTTCATCTTGTATTTGTGTTCTTTATTCACCAAAGTCTCTTCAATACTTTGAAAATGGATGGTGTTGATGCAAAGAAAACGGAGCAGAAAGATGACTGTCAAAGAAACTGTTATAAATTAAAAACCCTGTAAACATTGAATAAGTCGGGACGTTGCTATGGGTCTAAGAAATTGATGGGGTGAGTGAATAGAGACCGGGTGAACTGCTGATACCTTGGAGATGCCCGCACTTTAATGTCTGTTTCTGCATCAAGTTTGTTGGTTATTTGTTTGATTATGCAAAAACTCTGCCTGTAAGGGAGGGGGAATAAAAAAGAAAAGATCAATCAGCTTGGTTTGTTGTGATACAATCACGATATAAAGTTTATTTATGAATTGAAGCGGATGTACACGTGTGATTCATATAGCAGCTCGAGCGACCAGACCACACGTGTCCGACTCAGACTTGTATGGAATCATTATATACTCATAAATACATTTATCAACAGGAAACGGAAATTATAAAATACACAGACGCCATTGTTATTATGTCGGTCCTTACATATAATAATCTTCATGCCGTTGGAAAGTAGTCGCTCTTACAAAATAAATAAAAAAAAAATTTGTATCTCTCTCTCTTTTGCTGGTGTGCTCGGTAAGATGTCCATTCACAGTCCATTAAATATAAATAGCTGGTATGTTCTTAGAAGTCACCCTCGGGGTGTAGGTCGAACCTCGGGGGGAATGCGCCGCCTTCCCCAAGCATAGACCTGGGGGGCCGGTGGGGCTGCAACACAAACACAACCAATCAGGACAAGGCACTGCGTTCTATCCCGTAACACTTCGTCCAGCTTGGCGAACCCGAGGCAAGCTCTGGTTCCAGCTGTTCAGGGGGAAAGGGAGCTTCAGGAACTATGGTCGCAGTAACTACCAAACCACACCACAGCAATGCTAACGAAGCCAGGTACTGTAGTGGTTCGGCTCGAACTATTTTCGGTGAAAGCAACAACCACACTGTTTCTGCTAGAAGAGGTAATTTTACGAAACAGCCCAAGATAGATTTTCCAACATTTTCACATTTAAAAAATTACACACCCAATTTTTTGTTCTTTCTTTTCAATTTTTCGTAAAATCACGTTGCTCACAAAAGGGTTAAACAAAAGGAAATTTGGACGCCTTTCTTAGACGCCTGTTTGCCGTAAAGTAGTGGCGCGTGGTTTCATACACGTTTCCAAAATTCCATTCCAGGCGTATCATATCTGGGGGGCAGAAGGAAGCGACCATTTCTGGCGACGAAGTGACGAATGGAGCAGGCGCAACACACACCCAGAGACACTCGATGGGGTGAAACGGGGAGACATGAGCATGTTATGACGTCACGAACATCACAAAGCCCCTCCGATTGGCCAACGGACTACCAGTGCGACCAATCGGGAGCATTCGTTCCAGAAACGGCTGTTGCGATATTTGTGCATCCACGGAATGGAGTCTGGCGCTAGATGGGGGATTAAGGGTATGACTGTCCAACTGTTGCATCATGGGGTGCGAAACGCAAAACAGGGATGGGGTCACACAGCGGCAAAACAACAACCATAGCCCAACGACTTACGATTGTTGTTGTAAGATCTTATTCCAGTTTGCGTGCGGCCTGTTTCTGTGAAACACAAACATTGGGAAAGGGCGGTTGAGAGATCGTTCGTCGGCCTCACACTCAAAAGTGACAATAAATCGAGAGATTGGCGTTTCGCGTGGCCAAGTGGCAACCCCGACGCGCGCTGCTCACGGCAACCGGGGCCTAGAGTCCAAGACGAGCGTCTGGAGTCTGGCCTGTTTGCAACCCCCATGGCAACTCGCGACCCCCGCCGGGGCTCGAACCCGCGACTCTAGACTTTCCAGACACTTACCGCTGGGCTGAGTGCTCGCGCCGCGGAGCCAGATCGGCCCTTTGCGCGGAACTTGGCGATGGCCTGTTCTGCGAGGTCTGCGCGCTCCTCGGCCTCCTCCAGCTCCTGTTGTGCCTTGCGGAATTTGGCCAGGTTGAGGGCAGCGATTTCTTCCTGCAAGTCGGCAGACCGCCCGATTCAGATTAGCATTGTACTCACACATTGGAGTGGGGGGATAAAAAGAAAGAAAAGCAAAACAGTGTACTGACCGCCTCCTCGATCTGCCTCTTGTATGTCTTGATCTTCTGCTGCAGCTTGTCGACGAGGTCCTGCATCCTCTCGTGGTTCTTGCGGTCCTCCTCGGCCTGGAAGCTGAGCTCCTTGATGCGGCGCTCGGACTTGCGCAGGTTCTTCTGGGCGTCCGCATGCCTCCTCTGTTCGCCGTCCAGTTCGTTCTCCAGTTCCCGGACGCGCTGTTCCAGCTTCTGGATGGCCTTCTTGCCGCCCTTGAGGGCGTTGTTCTCTGCCTCGTCCAATCGGACCTGCGAGGCACGGGAAAACGGTCAAGACAAAATAGGGGACAAGTGGGGATTCGAACCCGCAGTCGTTGCACTCACCTGGAGCTCCTTGATCTGGGTCTCCAGCGCCTTGCGGAGCTTCTCCTGTGTCTGGGCGTGGTCCTGTTCCGCTCGGAGCTCGTCAGCCAACCTGGCGGCGTCGACCATGGCCTTCTTGGCCTTCTCTTCGGAGTTCTTGGCCTCGTTGAGGAGCTCGTCGAGGTCGGACTGTCGGGCAGAGAACAAGAACCGTCGGTGAGGTCGGTGGAAGAGGCCGCCGCGGGCGTAGGGGGGTCGGTCCGCGGTGCGGGGGGAGATGGTGGGCTTGGGGGTGGCGGGCACGGGGTCGGCCGTCCGCTTGAACACGGCGGCCACCCACTCGGTGCGCTTCGTGTTGACGGGGATCATCCGGCGCACGCGCTGCACGGCGCGCGGCGGTGGCTTGGCGGCCTCGGCCAGGATGTCGTCCACGTGGCGCAGCCCCAGCCGGACCCGGTTCGGCTTGTCTGCCTTGCTGTCGGCCAAGGCCGCGGCGGCCACCACCTTCCTGGCGCGCACCAGGACCTTGTCCTTCCGCGCCGCCACCCGCGCGTCGCACACCCACGGCCGCTCCATGGGCCAGGGCGACTGCACGTCGTCGCCGGCCACCTCGGCCAGGACGTTCTTGGAGCGGCGGAGGTCGTGGCGCGCGCTCGTGAGGAAGCGGCTCACGACGGGGAGGGGCTCCCAGGGGCGCGCGGCCACCCCCACGGCGGGGACGATGTCGCACAGGCGCGGCGCCATCGCGGCTAGGTCGGCGGCGTCGACCTCCGGAGGCAAGCGGCTGCGATCGGCGTGCTGCAGTCGTCCCGTCGGGACCAGCACTGCGCCCCGACGGGCACCGCGGAGTTAAGTACACGGCCCGCGAGGGCTCGGCGCCGCGCCACGCCGCGCCAGACTTGGACCTGAGTCAAGCGGCATGCAACGGGAGCAACAGCAAGCCCCAGCGCGGCGCGATGGCTATAATCGGACGGCGTGACAGGCATTGCCAGCCAGGCAGCCATGAAACCCTGGCCGGGCCCTTCGGGTCTCGGCCTTGGCGCGGGTAGATTCCACGACGGTTTCCAAACCAAAACAAGGCGGTGCCCTGGCGGTGCCCTGGCGGTGCCCTGGCGGTACTCACGTGCAGTGTCTGCAGCTCGGACTCGAGCTTCCTCTTGGCGGCGGAGATGGAGGTGTTCTGTGCGGACAGCTCGTTGAGCTGCTCGTGGGCGTCTCCCAGCTCCTGCTCGGCTTGTCTCCTGCCGCGGTCGGCCTGCTCGAGGAGGGTGCGGGACTCTTCCAGCTCGTTCTGCAGGGCGTTGGCGCGGCGCTCTGAGATGCCCAACTGTTCGCGGGCGTCGTCGCGGGCGCGCTGTTCCTCCTCCAGGGCGGTCTGAACGTCCTTGAGTTGCTGCTGGTACCTCTTGATGTTCTTCTGTGCCTCAGCGTTAGCCTGCGGGAACGTGCTCAGGTTAGGTCAGCCCTGTCACTCGGTTTGCACTGTTTACATTGGCGCGTGCGTACCTTGTTAGCGTGGTCCAGTGCGATCTCCAACTCGTTGATGTCGGCCTCCAGCTTCTTCTTCATGCGCAGGGCCTCAGCCTTGCCCTTGGCCTCAGCCTCCAGGGATGCCTGCATGGAGTCCAGAGCACGCTGGTGGTTCTTCCTGCAAGCGGGCAAGCGTGCACAGTTAGCAACACATTGGCATTCGTATTCCAGGAGTTGCCGCGAGCGAGGCAGGCAAGGTGGGCGCCTGCGGAAGGCAGGGTAGGCCGGCCCGCAAGCCACGGCTGCACGGCCTGGCGGCGCGTTGCCTACCCGCGCGGCGCTCCAGACCACGAGACTCACCTTGTGTTTTCGAACTCCTCCTCCTTCTCCTGGATGCGGCGGTCGATCTCCTGCCGGACCTGGGACAGCTCCAGCTGGCTGCGCAGCACCTTGTTCTCCTCCTGCTCCAGAGCGGCCTCGGCCTCCTCCAGGGCGGCCTGCAGCTCGTCCTTCTCGACCTCCAGGCGCTTGCGGGCCTTCTCGATCTCGTGGATGTTGCGGCCACCCTCGCCGATCTGGTCCAACAGGTCCTTGACCTCGTCGGCCAGGTTCTTGTTCTCGCGGCGGACCGCCTCCAGCTGCTCCTGGCCCTCCTCGTACGCGCCCTTCAGCCTGAACAGCTCTGTCGAGTAGTTGCGGCATTCCTTCTGTGACGCGTCCAGCTCGGCGGCGAGGTCGTCCACCTTGAGCTTCCATTCGCCAATGATTTTGTCGATGGCCTTGGCCTTCTTCTCGGCGGCGTTGGCAATGGCGGTGGCGCGGTCGACCTCGAGCTGCAGATCCTCGACCTCGGTGGCGAGCCTCTGCTTGGTCTTCTCCAGGGCGACGACCTTCTGGTTGAGGGACTCGATGGTCTCCTCGGCCTCGGCGAGGCGGGCCTGCAGCTTGCGCTTGGCCTCCTCGAGCTCCTCGGCGCGGGCGACGCCCTCGGACTCGTACTTGGAGCGCCACAGCTGGGCCTCGGCGTTGGCCTTGCTGAGCTGGCGCTGCAGGTCAGCCTTGCCCTCGGCCTCCTCCTCCACCTGCTCGCGCAGGTTGTCGAGGTCGTGCTCCAGGTTGCGGAACTTGCCGAGCAGGGTGGCACGCTCGCGGCCCTCCTCGTCGGCCAACCTCTTGGTGTCCTCGAGCTGGGTGGTGAGCGAGATCTTGAGCTTGCTGAGCTGAGACACCTGGCTCTCGGCCTCCTCCAGCTGGCGAAGCAGGTCGGAGTTCTCGATGGACAGCTTCTTCTTGGCGGCGTCGAAGTCGTTGAGGGTGCGGTTGGTCTCGTCCAGCTTGCCCTGCACCTCGTTGAGGGAGTGCTGCAGCTGCTTGGCGACCTTCTCGGTGGCGGCCTGCGAGACAGAGTGGCGGTTAGACGTTCGCCCGGCAGCCAGACAAGTACTCCAACGTAAAAGCGAGCAAGCTAGGCATTCGAGGGGAGGGCGACAAGGAAACAGGTGGATCAAGGATCTCGAAAAAAGGGAATGTCAGCGTCAGGGAGTTGTTTGCATTTGGCGGTTTGGCGGCTAGCGACACGTCGGCGTGACGGTGTCTACCTTCTCGTTGGTGAGGTGGTCGACGGATCCGCGGAGGTCATTGAGCTCAGCAACCATGGAAGACTTGTCCTTCTCAACCCTGGGGACATGGGAACGGGGCAGTGAGCATGCGAGACAGGGGCAGACACTGGGCAGACACTGGGCAGACACTGGGCATGCGTGGCGTGGCAGGCACGGCGACGTGCAGGGGCGTGGGGCAGTGTGGCTTCTCCGCGGACGATAGGGGCTGTGGGGCGGCATCCAGGACGTCCAGGACACGGGCACAAGGGGAGGGGGAGAGAGGGGAGTCGCCGCGTACCTTCTCTCGGGTCATAATGTCCAGAGCGCCCTTGGTGTTGTTCAGCTCGCTGATTGTAGCATTCCTCTCGCGCTCAGCGCTGTGCGGCAGAAACACCGTTCAAAACTAACTGTCTCACTCTTTTTTCATTCTAAATATCGGAAAGAACAGGCGTGAAAAAGAAATCCAGATCCAGCCTTCTTTCTTTTCCATCAATAGACGGGGAAGTCTCTTGATGTTCTGATCCCATTGTGACAGAAAGACTTTGAGAACTATCTAGGTGCTTCGAAAGCGGTCATTGCAGCCCAGGATCGTGTCCTAGAATTCCAAAAGTGACAAGAAAAAAAACAGTGGGCTACTTACTTGGCCTTGAGCTTGTTGAGCTGGTCGATCTGCTCGCCCATCTCAGCCACGGCGTCGTTGTGCTTCTTGCGCAGGTTGGCGAGGGTGCCCTCGTGCTGGATGTTGGCCTCCTCCAGGTCGCGGCGGAGCTTGGCCAGCTCGGCCTCGCGCTTCTTGTTGAGCTCGATCTGGGCCGAGGTGGCGCCGCCAGCCTCCTCCAGACGCTCGCCCAGCTCCTCGAGCTCGCGGGCGAGGTCGGCGCGCTGCTTCTCGGCCTTGGTGCGCGCCTGGCGCTCGGCCTCGACCTCCTCCTCGAGCTCCTCGATGCGGGACTGCAGCTCCTTGATCTGCTTCTGGAGCTTGCCGACGACGGACTGCTCGTCCTCCAGCTTGGCGGTCAGGGAGGAGATCTCCTTGTCCTTGCGCTGGACGGTCTGCTCCAGCTCCTTCTTGTTGCGCTCCAGGTCGGTGACGGCCTCCTGGGTCAGCTTGAGGTCGCCCTCAACCTTCCTCTTGGCCTTCTCGACGTCACCACTGCAGGAGGGGATGGACGGATTAGACAGACGAACCGATGCACGGTGGGCGCCGCACAGTGGGCCAGAAGACCGGCGCCGGCGGCCTAAACTCTAGACGGGTTTGGAGCTTCAGAATCGCTGGACAGGACTCGAACCGGGCGTGTGACCCCACCAATGGATTCCTCGTTCGGAGAGAAATCCATTGATGGGGTCACACGATCGATTTGAGTCCCATTTAGTGACTCTGGAGCTCAAAACGCGTCTAGAGTTTTGGCCGCCTCCATCGGTCTTCTGGTGCGACGCCCAAAATGAAAGAGTTCTCGGAAGTTGGACTTACCGCAGCTTCTTCTCGCGCTCAAGGGAGTCCTCGAGCTCGTCCAGGGTCTGCTCCAGCTTGACCTTGACCTTGTTGAGGTGGTTGACCTTGTCCTCGGCAGCCTGCAGCTCCTCGCCGGTCTTCTGGTTGGTCTCGCCCTGGAGCTTCTTCTCCTTGTTGAGCTTGTTGATGAGCTCATCCTGGTGGGCGATCTCGTCGTTGAGGTTGCGGATCTGGTGGTCCTTGGTGGCCTTGTCCTGCTCGGACTTCTGGAGGTTCAGCTCCAAGTCCTCGACGTCCTTCTTCAGGCCAGACACCTCCTGCTCCAGCTTCTTCTTGGCCTGGAACAGCTGGTTGCGGGCATCCTCCTCCTGCTGCAGACGCTCCTGGACGTCCTGCGGGCGCGAGAAAGAAAAGCGTTACTTCAGCCCAACCAAAAACTCTTAAAATTTCTTTTTCGCAGTGTGCGTGCGTGTTTGGGGCTAACCAGGCGGCCCGCCCAAACACAGCCGATGAAGTGATACCGGATCGCGGCGCGTCGCGGCGCGCGGCGAGCCAGGAATAGCCACTACACTATTTACACGGCGAGTCAGCGCGGCGGAGTCGCGGCCATTTTTCAGCCGGCCAGGTGAAAGTCCCGGCAGGTGGGGTGGCACACTGGCGAGGCGAGGGGGCGTGCCGAGGGCGTGCCGAGGGCGTTCTTGGCACGCGCCGCGCCCCGCGTCTTACTCACGCCCGTGCGGAACGCCTCGCCGCGCCTCGCCGACCACTCACTGCACTACATCGGCTTGGCAGCGCTTGGCAGGCCAAAGTACCTGTGTAATTCCTGCAGCCCACGGTCTTCGCCCACCATTTATCAACGAAAAAAAATATATTGGCTCAAGCCCAAGACGCGCGCGCGCACACACACACACACACACACTCACGGTGACACACGTGCGTCACCGCGAAATGTCGGACATTTTGAAATAGTTATTCGCGCGAAGGGGCGTGACGCGTGCGCGACATTTAATGGCTTTGCTTCGCGTTGCTTCGCGTTGCTGCGCGTTGCTTCGCTTTGCTTTGAGGTGCAGCCGAGGGCGGCGCACTTAAAACACTCAATGTTTACGGTTTCCCGTGTGCGCGCGCCTAGGGCCGCGAAGCGGCAGCGGGGCGTCGAGTGATATGCCACACGCACACACACGCACACACACACGCGCGCGCGCGCGAACCAGCGCAAAAGCGCCCGCCTGCGTCCACACATCTGCGCCTCCTACACCCACAAAGTAAAAGAGCCCGATCGGGTCGGTTGCAAATAACCCGATCAAAGTGCTCCGTGAATCCATCTGGTAGGTGGGGCTGCACCGGCTACGCCACTGGCTACGCCTGGCGCCCTTTCAAACAGACACCCTTCAGCGAGTACTCACCGTGAGCTGGGACTCGAGGTCGGCCTTCTGGGCGGCCAGCTTGGAAGACTTCTCCTGGTACTCGGAGAGGGCTCCCTTCTCGCCGTCCAAGTTCTTGAGCAGAGCGGTCTTCTCGGCGGTGAGCTTGGCGTTGAGGGACTCCAGCTCCTTCCTGAGCTTCTCCTCGCGCTCGAAGTTCTCCTGGGCCTTGGCGGCCTTGTCTTGCAGAGCCTGCAACATGTCGTCGGCTTGCTGTAGTCGCTGCAGCGCGTTGGGGCGCTCGATGTGCTCCTGGAGCGTGTCGGCGGCGTCCTCGGCCATGGCGGCGGGGCCCGGGGCGGCGCGGTCGGGTCGGGTCGGCGTCAAGGGACTGACTGGCCGGCCGCTACACCGCTAGACCCCCAGGCATCGCGGACCGGATCAGGGAGGACGCGGGGAGGAAGCGCCGCTTTGGCAGCGATTCCACCCAAAATACACGGGCCACCACGGGGCCGCGGATGAGTGAGCGGGGGAAGAGGAAGACGCCTGCTATCGCACTACTTGTCGGAGACATGTGTCTCGCTGCACGTGGCAGAAATAGTTCACCGCGGTGCCGTGGCGATGGTCCCGGAGATCAGGTCCTGCTGGGCCCCGCCTGGGTGGGCGGCCTCAGGTGGCGGTGACGCGCGCATTCCGAGGCTAATTTTGGATTCGGGGATCACCGCAGATATTATGGATGGCGATATTAAGTCAAAACGATGACGAGGGGGAGGGGCGGGGGCAGTCGCGAAGATTCGGGCCGTCGGGGTGACGGCGCGGTGTGAAATAGCCGGCAGGAAGTGGGACCCGTAACTCTCGAGCGAGAAGAAGAAGGAGAAGAAGAACGCCTGCGGAGCTCGGCGTAGGCCGGCCCGCCAGGCACGCGTGCCGCGTGGACTGCCTACCCAGCGCCCGCAGGCGACCGAGTGGGCAACCCGGCGACACGGGTGCGTGGCGGGCAGGCCTAGGCCGAGCTCCGCAGGCGCCAAGAGGATGGAGTACTCACGGCGATCTCGTCCTCGATACGGGTGACGTTGAGCAGAGGCTTGACCTTCTGCCACAACTTCCACCAAGGCCAGGTGCGCAGCTGCAGGTACTTGCGCAAGTTGCGCTGCACGACCTGGAGGGCGATCCTGGCGGGGGGGAAAATAAACCAAAGTCAGTACTCGAACCCACGACCCTGTGCGGCCAAGTCCGAGCGCGTCGCCGCGACTCACCTCTGGTCCTGCAACCTCTTGAAGCCCTTCCTGGACAGGTAACCTCGGATGTAGGCCTGGAGCCAGGAGATGATCTTGCCGAGACGGTCGTCACGCAACTCCTCCATCTGACCCAGGACACCGGCACGGAAGAACACCTACAACCCCGCCCCAAAAGACACAGTCAGCAACAGACACTCGCGTGACAGAGAGAGAATCGCTGTACACTTAGTGACGAGAGAGTTTCTCTTCTCCGCGTGGGAGAAGCAGAGGGTGAATGCAACCACAAATCACACACGATAGGTGAGGACAGAGGCAAACCGTGACTGGTTACAACATTGGCGTTGAGAAGCTCAAAATTATTGCTTTGCACTGTTTTTTTTTACAACGAGCAGATAGGCGCAAATAGTTAAGAAAAGCCTGCTGATTATTTTTTTCTTGTTACTTGCAAGTCGACGATAACGAATGGGCTACTTTTCATGGCGAAATACTTCTACACTGTTTATGAGACCAAAATAATACTCATCTTTCCAAACGTGTGAGTCTACTGGGACAAGGATACGTCGTTTTAATCTACAGATAACACAACTGGCCGTCGAGAGACAGCCTTCTACAACAAAATACTCCACAACGGGTTGCTGAACAACTCGCTACAACAAAATACTGTTCAAAAGTTAAAATACGAGATGTTTTAAGACAGCTGAGAGTAAGCTGATACGCTTTCTACTTCGCGAGAAACCAGGTTTGTACCTTGGTGGAGCCCAATCGGTACTGTTCAGCATCTATACCGGTTGACTCCATAATGATCTTGGAGGCCTCCTTAGGGCTCATGGTCGGTTTGAGGAGGTAACCACACAGGATTTTGTATCTGAGAATGCAATGTGACCGGTTATTTCGGGCATAGAACAGACAATCACAAACAAAAACCAGCTGCACCGCTGTCTGCCAGGGAGCATAGTGCGTGCGCACAAAACACAGAACACAGCATCCAGGTGGGAACACGGAACACAACAGCCTCTCCACAGGGTTACACAGAGAGTTGGCCAGCCGCGCCACTTGGAATGCCCTTGTTAAACAAAATTATTGAGGCCCGGGATTCGAACCCACGACATTCCAAGTGGCAGCGTCCACGTCAGTTACAGGAACGACGTTACATGCCTTGGTGTGACCCAGACGGTAGGACTCCTCGTCCAAGGCGGTGTTTTTCAAGATAATTTCGGCGCATTTCTTCTCGTCGTCGACCTTGGCAATGGCCTGGGGCGCCAGGATCTTGTACCTATCAGGGCATGCAAGAAATGAAAACAATGCACGTGCAGGGCGGAGAGGAGGACCATTCCCAATGGAATTCTTGAAGACGAGCCATTCCCAATGGACGTCTCAAAAAGGTCAAAGGAGGGTGTGTTCCAAAAGACGAGCCATTCCCAATGGACGTCTTAAGGGGGTCAAAAGAAGGAGTGGTCCCGAAGACGAGCCATTCCCAATGGACGTCTCAGGAAGGTCAAAGGAGGGTGTGTTCTCGAAAGACGAGCCATTCCCAATGGACGTCTCAGGAAGGTCAAAGGAGGGTGTGTTCTCGAAAGACGAGCCATTCCTAATGGACGACTCAGGAAGGTCAAAGGAGGGTGTGTTCCCGAAGACGAGCCATTCCCAATGGACGTCCCAGGAGGGTCAAACGGGTGCGTTCCAGGCGAGCCATTTCCAATAAAGATCACCGGAAAGACGAGCCATTCCCAATGGACGTCTCCGAACTGAAAATGAGCGACAACTTCCGTGCCAACATGCCGGCCGAAAAAAAAAAGAGGGGCGGGACATGCCTTGGTGTGACCGATGCGGTAGCTGTCGGGGTCCAAGCCGACCTCCAACAGACACTTAGCAGCAGCGTCCTTGGGATCAGCCTCCTTCTGCATGGTGGCGGGGGCTAGGATCATGTAACTACGCGTGCGCGGGAAGGGCAAGTCATTAGCATCAACAGTCTACACAGGGGAACAACTTCTACTGGGGTCACCTCGCAACAAAGTAACTACTGGGGCAACAACTCTACCGTACGGCTGGACTTACTCCTAACTACAAACAGGCTGGTTCCATGCCACCCAGGCGGGAAACAACATCTACCTCAGGGTCCATTCAGGGGAGGTTCAAATTCTAGAACGACATCGGAGCACAGGGGGATTTGCAAGGCCAAAGAATGCCCTACGTGCCTTCGTGTGACCAATTCGGTACATGTCGGGGTCCAGCTCGCAAGCCTCGAAGCACTTTGCTGCCGCAATTTTGGGGTCATCCGCGGCGGCCATGGCTGCGGGCGCTAAAATCATGTATCTTGGGGGGCACCCGAAACAGGGGAATCAACACAAGCTGAAAGGAAGACGGCATTACACTGCCCCACCCCAACAGAAACTTGAAGTTTCGTCCCTCAGTCGCATCCGAATGCTCGGACCTCCAAGTGCAACAGCACCCCCATACCCTGAGCCTGACTCCCATACATACCGGAGCTTGAAGTCGGGGTAGTTCATCCTGTTGGGGAAGCCCTTACGGCAAATACGGATGCCTTCAAGCACACCGTTACAGGTCAGCTGGTGCATGACAAGGTGAGAGTCGATTACACCTGTCGAAGAGTGACAAGGGCGGTGAGCACTTGTGGGCGAAGTCGTGGACAAAACCAGGACAAAGCAACGAGGACTCACCAGGCTGTTTCAACTCGTTGGGGATGATACAACGGACGAAGTGAGGCTGGGTGCTCCTCAAGGTGGTCATCAGCTGGTTCAGCTGTTCCTGTATACACGCACACCAAGAGCTTCGTCAGTCATGAGTCGCCTACTACCATAATTATATTAAAGCAAAACAAAATATTTTTGGAGAATCGAGAAACATTTCGACACCAGAATGGCATGCATGGAAAGAAATACTACATCTAGGAGTATTTGAAAGATGCAAAAAGGACAAAAAATGGTTAAGAGGCAAAGAAAAAAACTTAAAGTAATGTTAGTCACAAAGAGAACAAAATGGTTCGCAAATGAAGTACAAAAAGTGGTGGCAAACATCTTTTTCCAGAGCATTTTCATTTTGAAACCAGAAGTTTGCGGAACCATTGTATTCACAAGTGCTAGCATATTGAAATTTGAAAAAAAAATATTTTAAAAGATATAAAAAATGAAAAGTAAAGAAAAAAGTTTGTAGCACATTCTTAGCCTAACGTAACTACGAGAGGCAGAAAAAAGATATTCAAAAGGCAGAAACAGGAGAGGAAATATAGTAAGAACGTTGGTGGTCTTCACATAGGCACGTCCTACCATAAAATACCCCCTTTCAGCAAGTAAACGGATGATTATGAAGAGTGAGTTGAGACAAAGTCACACTAAAAATGTAAAAAAAATTGAAAAATATAAACCAAGTGTCTATTTGTTGTCTAACCCACTTCACATAGGGCTAGACACACTGTCTACGAGGTAAATCTACGCTTGTGTTGGTTAAATAAAGTATATAAAAATATGTAAAATGTGCACGGTGCAAGAAAAAAAAACCTCTTTGAGTCTCATCGAAAGTCATGCAACATATACACAAAATGGAACACCCTGTATCAAAAGGGCCCAGTCGAGGTGTGGGGAATGGGCGCCACTCCCAGGATAGACTCGGCAGCCAGAGGCTTGGGCACCCTGGTGCCAAGCTCCGGTCTGCCGGCCTGTCCGGGTGCTCTGGCTGCAAGACCCGAGCGGGACGCCCTAGGGGAAAGGGTTCAAACTGTCACGCTGTTGCACAATGTCGTGATTCTAAAACCCCGCACCTTGTAGGACGAAGACACGGTAGCGAAACCACCACCCTTCTTTCCTCGGCCACCTAGATTGAGAGACAAAGCAGACATCTTGAGTTCACTCCTCGCACCAACTTACCTCCGTTAGAGAGACTGGAGGCCTCTCTAACCACGGCGCCGCGGCCGAGAGCCACTGGAGCCCCTCGCCCTCCAAACTGGGGGACGGGCGGTACGGGGCAGCTCCGGCCGCGGCGCCCACAACGTTTTGGTGAGCAGGAGGGGAAAGGAGAGGGAGAGAGAGCGCGAGAGACAGAGACAGACAGAGAGAGACGCCACAGCACACACGGTGGTGGTGGGGGTGGATGAGACACCGGTTTACCTTGTAGAGAGACGAGACCGTCATGAAGCCGGAACCCTTTGTCCTCTTGCCACCTGTTGTTGCAAAGGATTTCCGGTATTCAGACAACGGCACAGACACTCGGGGCCGCTTGGGGGGCCGCTTCACCTCGCCCCAGGGGCACTTTCGGGCGCGTCTCCGGTCAGGAAGTTTGGCCAGGAGTGGCGGCGTCAAGGTTCCAAGTTGGAAAAACTATTTCCAAGCGACCTTTGACCTGCCGTCAGTCCGAGCCGCGCCCCCCGACACCGGAGACCAGCCCGCCGCGCCAAGGGGGCGGAGGCAGGCAGCCGACCCAGCGCATGCACAGTACATGTAGACTTGACAACAACAGGGCGGTCAGTTCCCGAGACCTTGCAGCCCTTGCAGCCCTGGCAGCCCTGGCAGGCATGCACAAGAAGAGCGGAAGGCAGAAGTCGCCAACGCCAAGAGAAAAGTGTAGTTTGAAAAAAAGAGGTGCGATAGCGCCTGTGTGGTAGGCAGAGCGCCCAGTCTGGGTGCGTAGCGGGTCAGCCTAGAGGGTGATCCGCAGGGGCGCCCAAGAGAAGCGGACAGGACGGACGGACACGCGGACGAGACACGTGGCATGCTCAAAGTTAGAGACGGTACACTAGACAAGAGTGTTAGGTAGAAGACAACAGAGTCCAGGGCAACAGAGAAGGGGTAAGGTAGAGGAAGGAGGGGAGATGAAAGCTCACCAATAGTACTAACACACTAGTTAGATGAGTAACAGAGTGGTAGAATATATACAATGAAATAAGTTATTGTGAATCTCTACAAAGCAAGAATGGAATCATGGCGGGTGCACAGTGAGAACTGAGATAGAAACCAAGTACCCTTGTTGCCTGAGAACTACACTTGCTTTTGTATTTTTCTCAAAGTGTTTTAAAGTTACTTTGTTTTGTATAATTTGAACTAGAGACTTGTTTCAACGTACCCTTGCCGCCGGCATCACCACCACCACCAGACTGGCCGGGGTGATCAGCGAAGATCTCCACCAGCAGCTTGTTGGTACCCTTCTTGAACTGGTCGACGACAGTGTCGTTCAGGGGGTCCTTGTTCTTCTCCAGCCAGCCAGTGATGTTGTAAGACACCTGCGAGCAGACGAGTCCCGTGTCAAGCCTAGGACCAGACGGGCTGCTATCTCTGCGACTGGTACACTGGTACTTACAGTGCCGGCGTAGTGACCAATGGCGAAGTGGGCAGGCTGCTGGCCGGGCTTTGGCGGCTTGGGCTTCTGGAAGTTGGGAGACTTGCCCAAGTGGTTGTTCATCAGCTTCTCCTCAAAGGTCTTGTCGGTGGCCTTGGGGAACATAGACTCTTCCTCAAGGATGGAGAGGATACCCATGGGCTGCAAAGTGGTAGAGCACGAGTTAGCAGGATAGGACGAGCGTCGGCAGAGGTGGAAATTAATTTCAATTCACCGATCCCCATCTTTTAATTACGTGTATTTACAGTTTGGGGGAGTCCGGCGCGAGGAGAGATGTGTTCGTGTAGATGCATGCTTTCAAAATCCTCACAAAACACGCAAGCAAGTAAAATCAGGAGGAACAAGGAGGCATGCAGGAAAACGAGGGCCGTGCAGAGATCAGTGCTGCGAAAGTAACGAAGCTCCAAACGATTATCCGAATGTAACAGATTAAATATCTACGGCGAGAGAATCAGAGAAAAGGATAGATTTAGGAACAGAAAGCCCCAATGACAAGTCTACGAACCACACAACCAACGGTCTACATCATATGAATGTACTACCTTAAAGGTCCTACGTCGCCAAAACAAAGAAAAAACGAATAGAATTACACTATTACAAATCGGAGAGAAAAAGCTATTATCTTGTGGCAGAACACAATGTCCAGCGACTAAGCAAGAAATTCGGCCAGTAGGCTTCCGAATCAAATTCCGGAGAGTGTTTACAAAGAGATAGGGATATACAGGGTATTGCGCTATTTAGCGGCCGTGTTACCGGTACCTTTTCGATCAAGTCAATGGTGCTCTGACGGTCCAGACCAAAATCAATGAAATCCCACGCGAGGTTCTCTCGATCGTACTCCTCTTGTTCGAGGATAAACGCGAAGTGATTGTAATACTGCTGAAGTTTCTCGTTCGTAAAATTTATGCAAAGCTGTTCGAATCCGTTCCTCTTTGGGCCCCGAGGAGAAGAGGTAAAGAGAGAAAGAAGAAGAAGATGGAGGTATTACAAGACAGAAAAAGTGAGTTACTTGTCATAATGGAGAGCATCACGGCTGAGCTGAAATAAAGGTTTACAACGCGTGACGCTCTCCATGTAGGCAACACAGTTGGACACATGACAAACACGAACTCTCCGGCGTACTCTTGTCGCTGGACACGTGGTTAGTAAAACACAGAAAACCACGAAGGAACTGTTTCTTTGGCCCCAGAACACCTCACAATACGACTGAATTGTGCCAAGTCGGGTTAGTTTTTGTCATTTTTGAGTATGTACACTGTACAGAACATCTACGAACATGCAGTTGTTCTGAGGCCAAGGACCAGGCAGTCTACCTTCTCAATCAGTTCAATGCACTGTTGCAGATCCATTCCAAAATCAATGAAGGTCCACTCAATTCCTTCACGCTTGTACTCTTCCTGCTCCAGCACGAACATGTGATGGTTGAAGAATTGCTGCAGCTTTTCGTTCGTGAAGTTGATGCAAAGCTGCTCGAATCCGTTGAACTGGAGTCACACGGTACAGTCAACGTTAGAAGGGTGCCAGGGTACGAGAAATGCGCCCGAGCGATCCTCGTCTCTTGTGGACCGCTCGAGTGGAAAACGTGCACTCGGACGCCAGGCTGGGCCAATGTGTTCGGGCATGGCTCAGACCCTTAGTCCAGGGACGGGAAGCAAACGAGAAAAACCAGGTGGAAGCATTCCTCATGCCGAGTCTCCGATTTGGCCGGTCAGCGGCCAAGTACTGGAAGGGCAAAGCGTGCAGACGTTCTGAAACAGCTCGACGACCTTGTCTTGTCTAGTCAGTTTGACAAGCAAAGAAAGCACGGAACACCGTGCTTCAGCGACTCCTGCTGCAAGTCCACCCAAGCATGCTGTGTGTGTCTGGAACGTGTACTGGGTGCGGCTGGCAACCAAGTACCTTCTCAATCAGCTCAATGCAAGCGAGCAAGTCCATTCCGAAATCAATGAAGGCCCAGACAATGCCCTCCTTTTTGTACTCTTCCTGCTCCAGGACGAACATGTGGTGGTTGAAGAACTGCTGCAGCTTCTCATTGGTGAAGTTGATGCAAAGCTGCTCGAATCCGTTGTACTAAAGGGGATAGCAAATATGGAGAAGTGGGTTATTCCTAAGAAGTCTACAAGGGAAATCACAGAGCACCTGATACAAACGAGAAGGACAAAAAGAGCTACAATTGGCGACAATGACGCTACCTTACGTTCCAAGTCTAGATAGTACGAGCGGGCTACAATAACCACAATTAAGAAGTATCTAAGAATGAACTACAAGGGAAGTATCACTAAATACTGGATATTCGTAGAAGAGAGCTGAAGAGACTACTTTTAGCTACCGGATACCTTTTCGATAAGTTCTATACACGGTGCGAGATCCATTCCAAAGTCAATGAATTTCCAGTCAATGCCCTCTAGCTTGTACTCTTCTTGCTCAACAACAAACATATGGTGGTTGAAGAACTGCTGGATTCTCTCGTTTGCGAAATTTATGCAAAGTTGTTCATATCCGTTGTACTGAATTAAACATCAAGTAACATGGCAGGAATGGCAACGTACACATCAATAAAACACTAACTATAAAATAAACGATAAAGCTCTGAAAAGTTGTAACAAATTCAAAAGTAAAGACAAAGTTACTTTTCAATGTGATAAAATCTATCATACACAAATAGAATGCTGCGCGAGGCATTTCTTTGTAACATTGAAACTAATTAAATAACTTCAAAATGATTTTAAAAAATCAAAATAAGTGCAACTGAAAAAAAACTTACGTCGAAAATTTCGAAACCAGCAATATCGAGCACACCAATGAAGTGCTGCCTCTTCTGCTGGGTGTCCAGGGTCTCGTTACACCTCTTCACAAGGTACTTGAAGAGACGATCGAAAATACCCTTAGACAGGGCACCTACGGAGTAGGATACCTGGGGGAACGGAACAGAGCGCACGTCAGTGAAACGGGCCGTAGACCAGAGCATGTGACTTGGACACAATAGTAGGTTATCTTACGCACCTGGTTCACGTTTCTGCCCTGGGTCACGAACTCGTTACCGACCTTGATCCTAGGCTTGACAAGGTTCTTGTAGAGATCGTCGCAGTCAACACCCAGCAGCTTGGCAACGCGGGCACCCTCCTGCGAGTGGGAAAACAGAAAATTACACGTAAGTATCGGACAAAACGGCGAGAAGGGCTAACAGAGATCAATAAAATGACAACTTACTTCAGTGCCGTCGGGCTCGGCCTGCTCCTCACGACCCCTCTGCTTGAACTTCATGCCACCCATGTGCATGACGGAGGCGGTGATCTTGTAGATGTCAGACTTGTCCTCAGCGCTGAAGCCCAAGACGTCGAACGCTTGCTGCAATGACAGATTAAATTTCTTGTCAGTTCATTTCAGAAGGAACACGGAAAAAGAAGCAGCAGTCTATAGGCTACAAAACAGCTGCCTCTTTAACATTTCGATAAGAAAAATCGACAGTAAGTTCAATAAATGAAAAGGACTGTACTTTTACCTGACAACATGAACATTACGGAAAAAAAAAAGTTGCATGCTTTGATGGGGGACAGTTTACATTCAAGATTTAATCTGATTCTTAAAAGAGAACTTTAAACTTAGGCATATAGTTTTTTGTTCCCATTCCAAAACAATTTATGCCCTATTTTTATTCTCACAAGTTTAGATTCAGCCATTGAAAGTTTTAAGTCAGAATGTAGCACGATAAGGGTCTTTTAATCAACAAAAACTTAGGGAGTTTTATATGACTTACATCCGTGAGAACACATTCCTCGCCGTCGTCCACGTTTGGAATTGTGATTTTACCCTGGGCTACGTTATTGTAATCGTAAATGTTGTCACTCAACATGCAACTGGCTGCGGATAAAAGAGCAAAGCAACAAGTTCAGCGTTAGAAACAGCATCAAATAAAAGACTAATGAAAAGCAAAGCAAATTGTCGGCGAAATCAGTAAAACAAAGCCCTGAAAAACAGTACTGGCGCTAGATACACTGTACAGTTCACCGCAGAGTGTGCAGAAGGAAATCAATATTAACATTTTCAATTTTGTATCACAGAGAACTGTTTTGTGTATGCAGCTCAAGAACCAAGCAAGTGTGAAGCGATGCCCACTAGCAGATAGTCAGAGTATTCAAACACATTCGTTGCGACACGAACAAATTTGACATGTTTCGCAAGGAATAGGGACCATGAAAAATTTGAACAAAAGAAGAGTGGTTCATAGTTCAGAGGCGTCACATCAACCAAAACATTGCTTTGACCGAAATGGGCAGTTTAATTGACAAATGTCGACGAATGAGTCGGAATAGTCTAACAACAATGGCCACAAAAGCGACACATAGTCTGTTCAAGTTTATGCTGTTTTATCTCTTCGGATTTTCGCGCGATTGGTAACATTATTTCACTGTTTAACTTCCCGAGGTAATTTAAATTTTTCGCCGCGATTTGATTTGGTACACATGCGTATCCCATGGTGCAACAAGAAGCGGACTTGGAGCAATGATGGTCAATGAACAGTGATCAATGAACAATGAACCACACGAGCTGCACCAGGGACACAAATACAAAATAATTTTAAAAAAATGGACTGATGGTGGTCCCTGATGCGGCTGCAAGCTCGAATGCACGCAAGAGAGCGACCACGGGTCGCACTTACATCCGTGACGAGCATCTCCTCCGCGTCGTTGACTCCGGGAATGCGGGTCTTACCCTGACTTACATATATATAGTCGCCCATTCTATTGCTCAACATAGCCATCTCTGTGGATCGCCAACAGAATGACAGGGATTAAGTCACACACATCGAGAAGGATTGGGTTAACAGAAAGAAACAGTGGCGTCACACAACAGAGAAAAAGGAAGGAAGAGACAGTTTCGGAAGAGAGCTACATAAAAAAAGAGAAGGTTTGTGAATGGTGTAGTGGTGTAGGCAGCAGCCAGGACATGGCCAGACATGGCCTGAGTGCGCGAGAAGCTAGAAAGAGAAGTCCGTAACGGCCAGACGGGCCAGGCGGGCCGCCCTCGCGGCCTCGACATAGACAAGCGAGGCGGAGCGCGGAGCGCTGAGGCCGGCATGCCGCGGCAGGGGCCGGCTGCAGGCCGTGCCGCAGGCCGGGCCGCCCCCACTTACATCAGTGATGGTCAATTCCTCGCCGTCATCCACGCTGGGAATGGTGGTCTTGCCCTGAGATACGAAGTAGTAATCGGTGATGTTGTTGGAGAGCAGGCAACTTTCTGTGCGTGATAAAGGAAAGGTTTGAGTCGAGAGTCCAAGACCGACTTGATTGGGGTCCAGCGGCCGTGGTCGCGTACCACTTGCACGGCGCTGGGGGAAGGGTGGGGTCTGCGATCAAAGTACGGCCTCCCCGCCCGTGGGCAGGGTCGGAGGAGGCCAACAACTACCAAAGCAACTAGGGATGTGCGTGTGTGTCGAGTGCAGCGCGTCCGCGGGGCCGCCCGCCCCGCCCTGGGCACCAGGGACTAGCCGTCGTGGGGCCGTAGGCGTCCAACTGGCTGCCAGGGCCGGGGCACTCGGCAACCACCTCGGCCACGCTCCACCAGCATGTCGTGATGAAAGAAATTCTCCAACTAGTCACACAAGTCTAGTGGTACGTCGTATCGGCGCGGGGGCCGCTACTAAAAACAACACCCAAATCACACCCAGGATCGATTCTACCGGACGGTCGCCCGCCCAGCCCTTCTGTCTGCTGGGGCCGGGGGGGGTTCCGCCTGACTGACTCCAACTTACATCCGTCAGAGTACATTCCTCGCCATCATCTACGTTAGGGATTGTGGTCTTTCCCTGAGCAATGAAGTGGTAGTCGTTGACGTCGTTGGAGAGCAGGCACGATTCTGGGGGAGGTAGCAACACACAGAATGAACTTTTTCTGAAGGGAAATTAGGACCGATCCTTGTACGGGGGTAGTGGGGGTTCAGACCATGCTAACTAAAGGACCGGCGCCTGAAATTGAAAACACACTCCGACATCCAAGTCACCGCCTGGCGGGAACCTTGTGGGAACCTGAACGCAAGTGGATTAGGACAAGTCAACTTGAGAGAGGCCCTGAGCGATGCTTACCCTTCAGGCCCTTGACGGAGCCGGACATCATCTGGTAGAAGATGTGGTAAGAACGTTCCAGAGACTGTTGGGAGATGACACGCGCCTTCTCCAGCAGGTCTGTACGAAAGAAAGGCGAACTTAGTCAAGTAAAAGAAAAACAACCATCAGGACAAGAGCCAAGTCCGATACTTACATGTCTCAATGTCGGCACCAGCAAGTTTACCGGAGGGACCGAAGTGAATACGGATGAATTTACCCTGTTCAGGAGCAAAGCCAGGGCATTAGCCAGTGCAAGTGCAAGAATAAATACTTAAGTTGAAAAGGAGAAGGGTTGAGTACTTACGAAACGGGAGGAGTTGTCGTTACGCACTGTCTTGGCGTTACCAAAGGCTTCAAGAACGGGGTTAGTCTGGACGACCTGGTCCTCCAGAGTTCCCTGAAAACGACAACAGACGGTGTCAGTCGGTCTCACGGCGACGAAACGGCAAGCGTCCGGAGGCTTGCAGATTTACCTTCTTGGTGTCCTTAGCCTCGTCTTTCTTTGTGGAGGCACCGACGGTGGCGAAGTACGCAATTACTTTCTTCGTGTTCTCAGTCTTACCGGCACCAGACTCACCGCTGTGGGACAGAGAGCAAAAATTAGGTTAAGTCGGGGGGCGAGGGGTGGCGAACTTGGTGCGAGGGGGAACGGTGACACTTACGTAATAAGCATAGACTGGTTCTCACGGTCTGCGGACAGAAAAGAAGGAACGAATGGTCAGATCGTTAGACGCACCGATGTACGGTAGCAGTTCCAGGTAGTTTGCACTTACTTGTGAGCATGTTGACGTAGGCGCCGTCAGAGATGGCGAAAATGTGAGGAGGGACTTCGTTACGGCGCTTACCACGGTACAGTTTGGCACAACGGTTGGTGTATACGGGGAAACGCTTGTAGGGGTTGATGGCGACGCAGAACAGGCCGGAGTATGTCTGCGGGGTCACAGAAAAAAAGATCAGACGGCGTCCCCCAACGTCTCGACTCTCCGCCGCTGCAAAAGGCTCGGGTCGGGGGAAATGGGTACTTATCATGTGGCACATATTTAACGTTACTAACCTAGACGCAAAATGTGTCAAAACTAAAATTCTTTTTTTTAAGGGAGGAAAACGAAAAGAACACCGAATGCGGAGCAGCTATGCCGGGAGAGGGAACTGTCAGAACTATCCCCACACGGCATCACAAAACAGGTGCGAAAGCAAAAACAAAATCGAGGGGTGAACAAAACGAATTCAATCTAGGCAAACAAAACAGGGGGACGGGTGGTCAATTTACGTTCTTCAAGCAAAAAAAAAAAAAACTGGTCAAGCAGGGCGAATGTTTTTTTAAAATTTGTAATTATAATCTGGGATTCAAAAACGTAAAGAGCAAAAGATTTTGATAGGAAGCATGCATTAAACGGGGAATGGATTTTTGCCACATCAGTGGGTAGTCCAACTTTACGAACAGTATAACAGTACAACAATTTTAAAAATACATCTTCGTAAAGAGTACAGACAGGTTTCATGCAGCAGGTCACACATCAAACAAGGGAACAAACAGGGCTCCGTTCGGTCCTTCCGAGGCTGGAACACGGCAACACGGGCAGCGAGCAGATCTTGGGGCGGTCAGTCGCTTTTGCAAGTCGCACTCGCTGCCGGGCACACTTGATGAAAACGCCCCACTTACGTAGATGAGCTTATGGTAATAACGCTGCTTGAGATTGTACAGGACAGACGCATCGTTAAGGTAGGTCAAGTTGGACATGTCCTCGGCCTTCTCGTACTTGGGTGGGTTCACCTGGCCGACCTGCTCCTTCTTGAAGGCCTTCTCCTGTTGGTCAGAATGGTTCCGCATTAGCCTCCAGACTTGGACTTACGTAAATGAGCTTGATATAGTATCGCTGCTTGAGGTTGTGCAGCACGGCAGCGTCGTTGAGGTGCGTCAAGTCGGCCATGTCCTCCACTCGTTCGAACTTTGGCGGGTTCACTTGGAACGCTTTGTCCTTCTTGAAGGTCTTCTCCTGCTCGCAAGGCACTTAAGCTGAGACACATGCTCACTTGCCAACGCAAGTTGTTTGCAGCCCGGAGGTAAAACAATAAACACAGACTAAAATGCACTAAATTTGATACTCTTTTTTTTTTCCTCACGAGAGAAAGTTTCAATTTATGATACTACTTATAATTTATGATATTACTCAAATAAAACACCAAGTCAAAAGGGTGTCACAATCCAATCACACGCCATCTTATTCTCCAGGCACGGGAGTACCTTCAACTGCATAATGTAACAAGATTGTAGTGTACTTGCCTCGCCATTGGGGAGGCCGACTGTGACAAGGTCTCCCTTGGTTCCCTTAATCTCTCCCTGGACGAAGCCTTCGGCTTCATCTGGGACCCAGCAGGCTTTCTTGGCATCGTAGGGCTTGGTCTGGTCGATGCGTTTCTGTTCCAGCGACACGAAGAGGTATGGAGTGGGATCGGGGTCGTCCCCGGTGCTGGGAGCTGGCTTCGGCATGTTGGCTGAGTGTTGGGTCGATTAGAGAGAGAGAGACACCTTGTGGAACAGCCTTAGCCCTCCTGCGACAAACAGAGAAAGAACAGTCGTTAATTCAGGTGCTCCACTGCCTGCCGGTAACCCTTAAAACTACTTGTTTTTCACGAAATAACGACTAGTTGTCTCGAGGCAATGACGGCCTGAGAGGAATTTGGCATTCTGAGGTGAGGCACTGCCTGCGTGCCCGCTGCCTGCCAGCCCTGGCTGGCGGCCAAACGCGCCCGATTGTCCACCCGGCGCGACGCGCGCTACGCGGACACACTTTCACTCACAACTCAGGGGTGCGTTAACAAAACTTGCGTCACCACACTTGGCACGCAAACCGTTTCCCCCGTTACGAGATCCAGTGACAAGGCGACACGGCCCAACGCTCCAATTTGGGGCAAAGCTGGGCAAAGCGACATTAGGACTTCATTTAACCATTCTTTTTACGAATTGTCGTCAACTTCGCAGGAATACAGAATCTCACAAGGCCAAAAAACTCGCAAATGTTAAGTCGGTTAAAGTTTTCAGATTTCTCAATGTTTTACACAAATAAAATTTCAGAAAATTTTGCAAAGTTACAAAAAAAAGTCTCAAGAGCAACAAGGATTTTTCACGCAAACGCCAGCCCAGCACATTCCTGCACAGCCCGAGCGCTCACAGTATTCTGAGAACGAACCAGAATAGACCCTCCCACAACTGGGTCAGAAAAAAAGAGAAGAAAGGCCGGTGGAACGGATCTGCCCGTACTAGTACAATCAGGGCATAGTGACCGAATTCCCATCAAAATACTTAAACAAAATTTCACACATTTTTCAAAGTTTTAAAATAATTTATAAGAGAAAATCCTTAAACGCCGAGTAACACCATTTGATAAAATTGGTCACAAATGACGATGTGAAGGGACAATTCCCGTACAAGAATGTTTAGTTTAGTTTGTGCAAACTAATTGCAAAGCCGGGCCGGCGGACCTACTTTCTGCTCTCACCTCACCTCCCTGCGGTGCCCAGCGGTAGCTTACGGGGCGGAGCGCTATTTCCGTTATGTTTTGCGGTTTCGTTACATCAGAGCACCCGAACCCGAGCCGAGCGCGTCCCGAGCGCGTCCCGAGCGCCCAGGCCCCATCTTCGGGCTGCACCCGAAGCTGACCTGACCCCTCCCTTCCGCCGAGACCGAAAGCAAGACAAGTGTCCAAGAGACAGCCAAAACCCAAGTTTGGAAAAGGAGAAACAGCCGGAGGCACGAACATGTAGGACAGTCAATTCATTTGCGGAGTATCCGCCCAACCAAGACACATTCTTAACATTAGCAGGCGTGGCTTGCGACTTTCGAGGCCCGATTCGCCAAATAACCGAAGCAGCGCAGCGGCGCTCACTATGCCAGTACTCGAATTTACTCGAGCTTGCACAACCACCGGTCAACGTGAACGCTCAACTTCTGCGCCGCAAGGAGCCGGAAGTGGTACACTGCAAGCACGGGGAGTGCCAAAACAAAATGGCGGACAGCACGAGGGCACGGCGTGGCCCACCGACTCGACGCTTATAATTTTGAAGTAACTTTTTTTTTAAACACAAGGGCAAGATGTGAAAACAGCGGAGACTGAATCACTAAGATTTCGAATTAAGATTTGAGGTTAAGATGGGCTGCGCGATCTAAAGCTAGTTTCGAGAGTTTAACACTGGTTAAAAAAAGTTGACGAGAAACATTCAGTGCCCCAGGTGATCATAAAGTCTCTAACTAAAACCCAAACGTGGAAACGATCACTGGCCTATCAACAAGTCAACCCAAAGGCCTAAAGGCCTGAAACCCTGAAGGGCACCTGCGGTTGCGGAAACTCACTTCACCCTTCCAGCATTCAAGTCCCCCACTGGCCCGACCCTGTTATCACTGTACAACAATCACCTGGTGGTGCTGGGTACCCCTGGGTACCTGGTAGCGGACGGAGCGTGAACTCGACGCTACTGAAGGCCTACTACACCTACAGGCACGGTGCCTCTGGCCAACGCGACGCCAGCGCCTCTAGCGGCAGCAGCGGACGGCGGATTCAGCCCGTTTTAGCTGCGAGGGCACGAACCAGGCCCCCCTCGAAATAGAACAGGGGGGGCAGACCGCGGTCCAGTGTCCGACCTGCGATCTCTCCCCCTCCTCCGCCCCCACCGGGCCCCACCTAGCCCCCGCTCCGGCCTACACCCCACCCCCACACCCTCAATTATATATAGCCTATAGGCCTCCCCCCTCCCGTCTAGGCTCCCTTTCCCTCTGGGCCCGATCCCTCTTTAAATGTCGCTCCGACCCACCGCCTCCCCCACCCAGCCTCCATCCGCCGTACGTTAGGCACTTGTTTTTCCATGCCAGGAATGCTGGCGGACTGGGGAACTGGGGCAGGGTGCCACCAGAGCCACCACCTACTGGCTGCAGATGCAACCACTTCCCACTCAGAAGCAAGCCCACCCTCAACAAACTAAACTGAAACTTTAAACCCATTCCGGCTTAACCTCAAACCAAACCCCCACTTTCAATAACAATATTTTCAAAAAGTAAACTCCGCCGCTGGCACAGCCTTGAGAGCTTCTTGACTCGGGTAATCCTCGCTGGAGTGGAGTCGCTGCTGGAGTCTGGAAGTATCCATGCACTTGACGCGTCGAGGGCTCTGACGTCACAAGCCACAGGCACACACACCAAGTTAAGAGACAGCTTTACCGTTAGAGATAACAACACACACAGTCCGCTTTTGTTCGCACACGGTACGTCTTCCGGTTCACTCTGTCCAGTCCTTGCACTTTCACTGTTGCTTCTTGGTTAATCCTCTTTGGCGTCGTCGCCACACTGACACTGAAGCACACCACACCCAGGCCCAGGTCCTGCTCACTTACGTTCGAAAGCCGTTCTGTCGGGGGAGCAGTGCGCGCTCCCCGCTATAAACCTTTGCAACGTGATCCAGGGGAGAGAGGCGCGCTGCCATTGGCCAGCGCGCCCGGGGCGGCAGCCAATGGGAGCGCGCGCCGCCGCCGCGCCGCCGCCGGCCCCTCTACCATTTTAGGCGGAGGGAAGCCAAGAGGATATTGTGCGGCGGCGCGGCGCGTCGCTCGCGCTCTCTCGCACCCGTGGGCCCGGCCACCCCGAGGCGCCTCGTGCGCTCTCCCTCGCACTCGCAGCCTCGCAGGCCTGGGGTGACTGGCCAGCCAGGCCGGCCGGCCGGGCCCGCCCCACCCCCGCCCCTCCCCACCCACACTGACCTGGGTCAGCTGTGAGGGCTAAAAGGGCGCTGGGCGGCGGGGCGGGGCGGGGCGGGACCCCCTGCTGACCGTGAACGGGACGGGGGGCCCCGACGGCCTTGGCGCTGGAGAAGGCCGCGCTGGAGGCCATCGGCCAGGGGCTCCAGGCCAGCCACGCCCGCGCGGGCAGGCCTCAATGCAGAACACCCAAAGTCACTGAGTACCGCGTAATCTTAACGACAAGGTGCTTTCAACATAACAGGTGGACACAACAGTTTTTCAAAAATTGTTTTGTTTACTCTTGCGAGCAAACATTCAAAAATCGAACTGTTGAAAGAACATATTTTCAAAATAATAATCTCTAACCGTAGAGTTGATTAGTGAGCACTTCAGGAATTTCGGGGGAAAATAAGAACAGAATGGGACCAAACATTATGTAACTTTGACTGAGGAAAATAATTATTATGTAACTTTTTTTCGGCAGGATTCTCGCCATTGTGGTGGCTGCGTGCGGTGGGAGGGGTTGGCAGGGCGGGGTGGGGCGGGGTGGGGCGAGGCGAGGCGTGGTGGGGCCACCTGTTGCCCGAGCCGGCCGGCGGCAGACTTCCTCACTTTCAGTGCAGCCAGCGGCACGGCCAGCGCGTCCGAGCGCCCAACGGAGCTTCCCCTTCTCCAGTTAGTTCCCACCAAGGTCGTCGTAAGCTCGTCGGCCGGCCAAGTGTGCTCGCTGTACCAAAACCCTTGTGACGGTTGTCCATTTGGAATTCCGGAACGCGAGTGAATCCGTCCGTGCACGATTTTGACGTAGAGTGCCATAGCAAATGTTTACAGCGTGAATCTGTGCCGCAGAGCCGTAGAAGATACACACGGTGGAGGGAGATACGGTGGCGGCACGGGGCCCGCTCCGCCTGTACTTGCGCTGAAGCATGTTTTGGGGCGAGATAGGGTTTTTCTACCGCTCACGAGATGGCGCGCGCGACGCTAGACGGCTGGCTCGAACACCCGTCCGGCCTACCTGCGGTCCGGGCCGCGCACCCTTCTCCCTCCACCGTGAAGATACAGTACGCAGGGACGTCAAATGCCAACGCGCTTGTCAAAGTGCCGGCTCTGCACACCACACAGTGGCAGCAGGGAGCTAGCTGTAACAGTGGAGCGCACCGCGCCGCACCGCGCTACGCGCTCCAGCCCGGCCTGCCGCCTGCCATCATGGAGATAGGCAACACGCTGGACACAGGAGCACACGCATGGAGAGATTGCCTACCTCGCAGGCGGTAACCACAGTGGGCCAGAAGACCGGTGGAGGCGGCGAAAACTCTAGACGCGGTTTCAGCTCCAGAGTCGCTGATTGGGACTCGGACCGAACGTGTGACCCCACCGATAGATTCCCCGTTCAGAGAGCAATCCATTGGTGTGGGATAACCCGCTCGGTTCGAGTTCCATTTTAGCGACTCTGCAGAGTCTGCAGAGTAGTATACTAGTGGGGCAGCACTGCCGCGTGTTTCGGTGCATCGGACGCACCGACCTCGGCCGTCTAGTGAACACGTTGGTTCAGGAAGTGGCTGATCGGGGACGTTCGCAGCCCATAACTCCGCCCGTACAGCATCAACAAACCAGCCGGCTCGCGCACAAAATCCATTCGCACCACCATTTTGAATCATCCACGGCTCTCGACGACGACCGCACTCTAAATGTTGTAGAGTGAAGATTCTCCATATTATGGTGGAAATGTTCCACATTATGGTGGTGCAGCTGACTAACATACCATTAAGATTTCACTGTACCTTATAGATATTTTGACGAATTTCGTTGGTATTATGGAGAAAATCTCCACCATAATATGTTGGTGTAGCCCTTCACTGTGAGACATTTACAGTGCGGACGACAATTTAAGTTTCCCTGTCATTCCGCGACGCGCCTACACTGTTTCCGTCACGGTCGCCACGCCATGGCTAGGCCGCCGGGGCGACATCGATAAAACAACGGGGCAGTCATTTACACGGCGCTACGTCCGCGCGTCGCAGTTACATAAACTCACTTACGTAACGCACAGTTACGCGTGGACACTGCCTGCCAACGCGGCGAGTTTACGTAAAGGAGGGCGTGGCGCGCATACAGTAACTCGCACGGTGCAGCGGCGCGGGGAGGGGAGGGGGGAGGGGAGTGGGGCGGGGAGGTCAGTGGACCCCCGCCGTTGACTTGGTTCCAATCTAGAGTAACGAACGAGCCCCCCCTGCGCCGAGTACAACGGACAGCCGTTCGAACGGACCCCCGACGGCATGCCGAGCGACCAGAAGCGACCAGGCCACGCTAATTTAGCTGAAACGTATTTCATGTCATTAGCAAGTTTCAATATTTAATCACAAAGAATGTTTTTTTTTGTTTTGTTTTTTCACATTGTAGATTTTTTAAAGTGACCATCTCCTCTATTGAATGTGGATAAGAAGGGACTCTGCCAGGCGTGAGACACAAGGAGCAAGTCGCGAATACCAAAGCCGGCTTCGAACTCTGACTTGGTGCGCTGACCACACACTGCAGTGAAAAACCAAACGTGGTCACCACACCAACTGGTGTGGTCAAATGGGTGCCATCTTCACCGCATCAGTTGGTGTGGTACGTTTGGTGCATTTGGTGTGGTCATTGCATGGAAAGACCACACCAAACGTGGCCGAACGTGGTCTAGGCCACACCAACTGATGCGGTCAAAATGGCACCCATTTGACCACAGCAGTGGTGTGGTCTAGACCACGTTTGGTTTTTCAGTGTGGCCGCCACCAGAAGTTAATAACCAGTGCAAGGGCAACCTCTTCCGCGTCCTTCGCGCGGCCAGACAATCGGACAGCCAGGCACAGCCGGGCGGAGCCAGGACTTCCGAAAGCCAAAGCCGTCCCATTCATTTCCTTCCATTACACTGTCGCCGACCGCGTCGGGAGGCTCCCCCGGCGTACAGTACATATCGGTGCAGGCATATCTAATTTCAAAGCAACCCCTCTCTCTTTCTCTCCCCGTCACGCCACTACTGAACAAACGGCACCTTAGTTTCGTTAAGATGCGGCTTCGGCCATGCTCACATGCTGGTGATCATTGCAAAGGGAACACTGGTTAAACTAAAGCGTAGTATTACCCTCTGTTTTCAAGCGTTAACAGTTTACGCTTGAAATCAAGCCTAACAGGCTCTTTGGGCTCTTTGGCAAAGATTCCCCCGGGGGACAGGCCTGTCTATATGCATGGCAGAATTTCCCGAGTAGAGTATGCTTCATTTCAAGCGTAACGTCTTCAAGCGTAACGTCTTCAAGCGTAACTCTAAACTCGACTCAAGCATAGAGTTACGCTTTAGTTCTACAGGTGAAAACAACGGCAAAGACTTGTTTCAAATAATTTTCAAGTCGTTTAAGCGGCAGTCATTTTGACCACTCTCAGCACACAACATTCGGTTTGGTGTCAAGACTGCTGGGGGGTTTTCATCGAATTTGTCATCGCTTTCCTGTTGTTATTTTTTTTTTCCTTCTTGACACTGGCGACTCCAAAGTTTGATGGCCACGCCGTGAGAAGTGGCGGCAGGTGGCGGCAGAGACGGAGAGAGAGAAAGAGGGAGAGAGAGAGAGAGGGAGATAGAGGGAGAGAGAGGGAGAGAGAGGGAGAGAGAGGGAGAGCAAGGACAGTGAACTCGGGGTGAATCGGGCGGAGACACGCCGAAACCCGCAAATAGACAAGACAAACTTTATGGATTCCACTTTCCATTTCCAATTTCAACACCTTCCAAGTTGACCCAAACTAATCACCCAAGCACTGACCAAGCCGAACAGGAGTCTGGTTTGACAAGAAGAGGTCCAGTGGCGG